CAGGTCACGTGATCACAAAATATCATCTAATACATTTCTTAAATGTCGTCTTCATCAATCAATCAATCAAAAACGATTCTGAATGTCGTCTTCATTGGGTCCAACAATTCCAACCAATCAGAACGCTCCATTCAGGTCACGTGATCACAAAATATCATCTAATAGGAGCATTCTGATTGGTCGCTGCTCGTGTCATCAAACTCTGCAGAATTCACTACTGACAATAATATCAGTATAATGAAGACGACTTTTTATTTAGTTTTTATTGTTAAAAAGCTTTTCTCGAATTACAAGTTTACAAGTAATAAGAAGCTTTTTAAATTGACAGCTTCTCTTGGTTTCCTTGTTTTTCTGTATCTAGATATAAATCAAATTTGAAATAGAAAATCGTCTTCATTATATTGCTTTAATCGCCTACCACCAAATATACAGGGTGTCCCACATCAAATTAGACCGCGTGAATGGGTCTAAATTACTATTTGGGGGACAAATCAGAAAATTTAAGAAGAATGAATCATTTTGAAAAGTTGAATAAGGCTAGTAGAAATTTTTTTTTACAGAAAATGCTAGATGTTTCGAGTATTATGTGCGTATTTTTGCGTAAGAGATTGGAGATAATCTAATATGATATGGGATATATATACACATATATGATTTGATAAGACAATTACTTACTTTGTTTTTATTTGTTTTTTGACAAAATATATTTTTAATTTTTAAATTCTTCTACATTTTTTACATTTTCTTGATTTTTCAAAAATTTAACGTGTTTTTTCATAATAAAGAAATTAAACTGAAATTTTGTATTTTATTTTAATTAGGAAAATCAAAAATCGGAAATGAACCAAAAATTTGCGGAAACGGATCGGAAACCGACCATTAAACTGAAAATTTACAACTTTTTCTGAAAACCGGAAACGGGCCAAAAATTTGCGGAAACGGATCAAAAAAAAGGAAACCGACCAACAAATTGAAAATTTATAACTTTTTTAAAAACCGGTAACGAACCTAAAATATGCGGAAACGAATCGAAAAAAATTAAACTGACCCAAAAACTAAAAATTTACAACTTTCTGAAAACCGGAAACGGACCAAAGATGTGCGAAAAAAGTTAAATATAGCGGAAATGGGTAAAAAATATTCGGAAATCCCTCAACACTTTTTAGTATTGAGGGATTTCCGATATTTCTTGAACAAAGAAGGAAACGGACCAAAAGTCACTTTTTGGCCCTGGTCCGTTTCCGTGTTGAGGTGTTTCCACAGCACCAAAGGAGAAGCAGAGCTAAGAAGATTCCCAAAAAGATAGGTATCCACTATCCAAGGAACCTGTTCTGGAAGAACTGGATCAAGGATGGAACAAGGTGCCATGTCAGGGCTGAATCTCAAGAGGAACTGAGCTGAAAACTTTAGAATGTGATATCCTTAATCCCGATCGGTAACTTAATCTGGAGATTAAAATAAAGAGGAGAACAAGCATTATTTAATCTGGAGATTAAGAAAAAGAGTAGATCAAGCATTAATCCTGATATCCACCATTCAAAAGTTCCCAGCTCAGAGATGGGAACTTTTAAATGGGATATCCTTAATCCTGATCGGATAATTAATCTGGAGATTAAAAATGAGTGGAGAACAAGCAATATTTAATCTGCAGATTAAGAAAAAGAGTGGATTAAGCCTTAATCCCGATATCCACCATTCTAAAGTTTTCAGCTCTGTGCTGAAAACTTTAGAATGAAATATCCAGATATCCCGTCGAATAATTAATCTGGAGTTTAAATTCATGTGGAGAACAAGCAATATTTAATCTGGAAATAATGTCTTTCTGTGGATATCCAACACAAAAGTTTTCAGCTCTGGTTAAACAGGAAATTACACTGTGAAGTTTCTTCATATTTTTCGCGCATTTCCATGAATTGAAATCATGATTTCTGACAATTCATAGAACACATATAATTTCAAATTTTATATCTTGAGTTAAATTATTTTCTAAATTGATTGTGTTCATTTTATTCATTTTTCGTTCTAGTTGGTGGAGCCCCTCAAGTGAAAAATATCCGGGACCTAAAGGCTCCGATGGATGCTCCCAAGCAGAAGAGAGGAGGAAGAAGAGTTTGACAAATGAAAGAAAGATATGTTGTAACAGAACTACTAAAACAAGCAAACAGGTAGAGACAAAAAGAATCACTTTTTTTACCTTAATATTAACTTTTTTGTCCACAAAGATTTTATATTATTTTTTATTTTTTGTCTTTTTGCTTGATTTAAATTTAAGAACCGTCATTTCATTTCATTCTTCTTTGGGTTTCCAGAATTTATTTTTATTTTATAAATTAGGATTTTTCGTAATCTAAAATCATGTCAGGATGACCTTTGGGTGAAATATCGTTTCCACTAATGATTGATCTAACTAACGTACATTCGTACTAACGTTTATCCGCACTATATAGTGCGGATAAACAAATAATTGTTCAATCAAACTTAAGTCCGCTTGGAAAACCAAGACATAGGAAACAAAAATTAAGAAAGAAAAATGATTTTTTTTTACAATTCTAATGTTGGTCTGCTGACATTTTCAGATTTAAAATCTTTTTTTTTAAATTTTTCAATTGATAATATACCATGATTACTATTTTTGCTTTATTTTTCATTACTTAGGCATTGAATCTATTATTTAACTTTTTAAACACTCACTTCAATAATTGAATTTATTACTTAGTTCATTCAGGCACTTACTATCCTATACTAAATCAACTTAAAATTTACTTAAATCATTCATTTATTACTTAATTTTTTAATCACTTACTTAATTATTTAATTTAATTATCTAATTTAATAATTTAAGACCCACAGAAGGGAAAGAGGGAAAAGGAGTATAGGGAACTACGGAAGGGAAAAGGAAGAGACGAGAAGGGGAAGGTAGGGTAGATAGGGAAAGGGAGGGTAGAGAACTGTTGGAAGGTTGGCAAATAAAGAAGTGAAGGAGAGGGGAATATAGGACAGGGAAGGGCTGGAGCTGTTTACCTCTACATATCCACATGACTTTATCCAAAATCAGAGTTTTTTATAAATAATTTTCCCCAATAGTTATAATGCAGCATATAAAACGTGTTAAAAATTTGTCAGACTCCCCGCACAACTTCATAACAAATATGATAAAAGAATAGGATAATCTATTGCTAACGAAGGCCTGCGCTAAAGAATGCATCAAGATTATTTCATCGAGTTTAAGAATTCCATTATTACATTTTTATCCTCATAAGATTAATATTATATTATATTTGTGAGGTTCCTTGAGCACATACCCAAGGGCATATGTTTTTTTTGGCAGGTCATATTTTTCTTTCAATTATTTGCTTTTCCCTACTAAATCAGAAAACATTTCAGCAGCGTCAAATCAATCCTTTTATCATGTTTTTTTTAACAGGAATTTCTTGAAAAACCAAAATATTTTTCAGATGAAAAATTGAGTTTGTGAACTTCGAGGCCAATGCTTCAAAATAAACAAAAATGTTATTTGGTTTTGAGTTCAATATGTAGTTAATATTCTTTTATTTATATTTATATTTCATTGTAATTAAATGATAAATATTATTTTTGGTCTGGATATTATTCCCATTTTCACCAGGGTTTCATCTTTAAATAAATAATTTTTAATCTGAATCATAGATTGAGTCGGTTAATAGATTCCCTGCTCCGCCTGGAGAGGAGAGAGGGACGGGATGGCTGAGTATCCGGGGACGGAGTATCGGAGAAGAATGGAATGAGACGGATCAGGGTTTCTTTCTCCGGAGAACTAGATAAAGAGGAGTCGGTACTCACCTACAGAATAAACGACATTAAACTTCTTCTAGGACAAAATGGAAACATTGAAAATTTGTCTTTATGTAATGAATTATGTATTATGTAATGAAAATATCTTTTTCATAATATATATATTGTACATGTAATGTTATTATTTTTATTATTGCATATGCAATATACATGTTTACTGTATGTATATAGTATAGTGTAACTGGCCTTTGATTATTAATGATAAATTATTACAATACGAGGAAATTGATCATTATAAAACAAAAAAATATTCATCACAAACTTTGACTGATTTTGATTTGTATCCAAATTGAATTCAGAAAAATGTGTTTTTTAAACCAAGCACAGATCGAATTCTTATCATATTGGCAAGAATGCAAAACTTGCTAAAATTTTGTAAGATTGTTTACCAAATAGTTGACAATAGTTCTGAGATAGGCTTGCAACTGCTTTCTCCGACTCTCAACAAACCTCTCGGATCTTGAAAATGAAATTTTTTTTTTGGAAAAATGTCGCTTTAAAAGACACTCCATTTTGCTTTTTTTATAATTATGTAAATTTAGGAGATGCTGCAGTAATTTTACATATACTTCATACTTATTGAACTTATGTTTTGTTGATATCTGTTATAATTATTTCTGCAGATTTGATTTGATTCGATTTGTTTATGCTAATTAAATTATAAAAGTTGAATAAAAATTAATTTAACAAAAATAAATTTATTTCGAAAACGACATTTACCTGTTCCCAACAGTTTTCTTTGGTGGAAAGTTAAAGGATGAGACTACAGGATCAGTTCTCCGTGTTTGTAAATGGAATTCAAGGAACTGATTATATCTTCTGTAGATATTCCATTCACTATCTCTGATCCTAATATAAACCTAAACAATGAAGGTAATTTGAAACAAAAGATTTTAAAAGATCTCAATTAATCAAGACATCAATCATGTAATTAATCAATCATGTAATCAATCAATCATGTAATCAATCAATCATGCAATTAATCAATCATGTAATCAATCAATCATGTCATCAATCAATCATGTATCAATCAATCATGTAATCAATCAATCATGCAATCAATCAATCATGTAATCAATCAATCATGCAATTAATCAATCATGTAATCAATCAATCATGTCATCAATCAATCATGTAATCAATCAATCATGTAATCAATCAATCATGTAATTAATCAATCATGTAATCAATCAATCATGCAATTAATCAATCATGTCATCAATCAATCAACCATTCAAGGAACGCATTTAAATATCCATCAAATAATTCTATCAACATAAAATTGAATTAACCTATTATAATTAAACTATCTAACTTTTAAAAATCAACCTTTATCTTATTTATTATTAATTATTATTTTTATTATTACAGACTAGTTGCCCGTGGAATTTTTCACAAAAACTTCAAATTGTTGAAAAATATTTCCATTTTAAATTTTTTTAGCCTATGTTACCCCCAGGGTATCCATGGGTTCCCTTTAAAAATTTGGTCCAGACATTTGGCCAGCTATAGCTAACATATAAATATATATATATATATGATCAAAAAGCTTTATTATCTAGAATATTTTGAAAAAACAACTACAAAATTATCCATATGTCTCGAATAAATATTAATGGTTCCATAATTTAAAAAGGAATAAGACTTTTGAGAGGTTTTCAGTTTTTTAGTGCTTTCCAACTTAAATACATATTTTTTTGTCTAACATTGTATTTGAATGGGTAAAACTTCAGGGGGGATGAACACTCAACAGAAACAGGACAACGGAAAACACGGAAATATCAAAAATAAAAACCAAAAAATTTAGACCTGATAAACATGATGACGGTTTGAACCCTCTCCAGTAAGAAACACCGAAGGTATCCAAATATTAACAAGAACCCGACTGTTGCCAACACTAATCTCTGAGCTGGCTAGACTAGATGTATCCCAGTTCTCCTGGTCCTCAGGTAGGGGACCACGGAGCAGAACTAGTTCATGACGGAGCCGGTTTATTACACCATCACGGCTCTGTACTCCTCTCTGCAGACATTCATTAAATTCAAGTAGTTCTCCGTGCATCTCAGCTACCTAATATTATGTTAGCGTGGAAATTGTAAAATGTTTAGACCGCCAATGCTGCGGCACTCGAAGGGCAAAAATTTATCTGTTCTTTTAGGTGTTCCGGGGGGGCGGGGGCAAAATTTTATTTAAAAACAAAGCCAGAAATCTTAATTCTAGAAGAGGAATTTCAAAACCCAAAATGAATACATAAGTGTAAAGATTGTCACAAATTTTCAATAAAATTTAAGTAGTGTTATGTTGATGGTGATTTATATCAAGATTTCCTACCTGGATCAACTTCTTTTCGTACTCGCTGGCCTCGAAGTGATAATCCACGTACTTGTTGTTAATCTCGCTGCTCTCGTTCTGGCTCTCCAGCCTAGCCAGGGTCTCGTAGGCCTGTATATTTAATCCTATTTAGTTAATCGGTTTAGGTCAAGCTGAATATTTCATCTTTACAGCTCAGGTCAGCTTTCCTTAACATTTACCAAAACTTTTGAATTTTAAGACTTAACTCATAAGAGTGGTAAATACAAAAATGCGAAGATTTCTTTATCAAAAGTTGTTTGAACTTCAAGATAAAAAAATTAACCCTATAAAAGTTATACCTCCAAAATATTAACATAAAAACGACTAAAAGATGTGTTTGAGGCAAGTTGGGCGGCGTAAAAGCCTTAGTTTAACTTATTATATAAGTATAGAACTCTTTTTTATATTAATGAAATTGCAATATTAAAAGTTTGATTGAATCGCCATTCGCCAAAATCTCAATTAAAACTGAAACTATTTATTTATTTTGATGTAGATCAGTTTTCCTTCAAGCATTAAAGAACATTCATTATAAATGGGTTTAAAAAAATTCTCTATAAAAGTTTATTTGCTCGACATGATTGGAGGAAATTCTAATTAACTCTTTGATATTTATTAACACTAAAAACACGTAAAAATAATCATGAAAAAATTATAACCTGAGGTCCGTCTCTAAGTTTTTGAACAGCTCCGACATATTTCTTGAGCTGATGTTTGAGGAGTTCGTTCTCACGAGAGAGGACGCTGTTCCTACTTTCCAGCTTTTCAACCTAGGCATTTCATTCAGATTTTAAAAGTAAGCTCGAGCTTTAGTCACGCCCGGTTCCATAAATATAAGTGTTTGTTTATAGAATCTTGCGCTTTGTCGCGTAGCATAACCAGCGTTCGCTGTAGGAACGATTTCGCTCCAGGCATGACACCGGTTCTCTGCACTCTACTCTTAATGATTCTGAATGATTTCACAGAAAAATACAAAACAAACTTTAAAATATTTTTTAATGCTTATTTCATAGATAACAATTTTCTAGTTATATGCCTTGGCCAATTACCTAATCTAATTAAAAGAATATATCTAATTTCTTTAGTTCATGGTTGCAATATTAAAAAATCCACTTTCACTATCTGTTGAATCGCTAAAAGAGATCTGCAATTGTACACGGTTTTAAGTGTATTTAAGTGTATTTGGATACACATAGGACAAATAATGTTTCTAGATTTAAGCCGGCGCTCAATTGAAACCGGGTTTTGGGGATTTGAGACGCGGCTCAAATTTATTAAATTCGAACTCTGATTATCCTTGAATATTATCCTAACCTGTTCCTGTTTCTTTAAATTCAGATTTTCTAATTCTGTTTTTATTTCTCGGTTGGACACTGCTTCACTCTCAAGGGAGGACCTAAGAAAAACAGATCAATATGTTAAATATATTGAAATTAAAACTTTTTAATGCTCAGTTAAAAGTTCAAAATTAATATTTTTAAAGTTAAATTTCCCATTACTTCTTTTCTCCAGATTGGTTTAAAATCCTTCTTATTTCTCAAAAAAAAAATGTATTTCTCTAAAATACGGTGAAGTTTTTAAGGATTTTTTTCTCGTAAAAATATCAATACAAAGTTCACCTTAAAGTTTTAAGTTGCTGTTCTAGTTCTTCCTTTTTCTCCATTACAGATAAAAGCGCTTTCCTAATTATTAATTTTATTCAGACAATTGTACCAACCCAGAGAACCCAAACCAAAATATATTTTTGAAAATAAATATGTATCCTACTTTTTGTTTGTTTAGCAACTATAAAGCAAAAAAAGCCAGTTAATCGAAATAAAGAAGAAAAGAATTATGTCGTTGCAACTTATAATTTCTAATCCCTTTATCTTTGCAACCTAATGGCGTAAACCTTTGAAATGTAGATTATTTGATTTAACAGAATTCTTAGTTTGAAATATCTAAGGTCTACTGCATTGGGATGAAAAGATTTGAGGATTAGAAAATAAGAAAAAATAAAACAATTCCTTGATTACATGAAGAATTTGTCACTTTTCGTAATAAATGTCGAGAAATGAATTCTAGAGACCTGAGTTCCTCTGTCCCCAAACTCTTATTACTCCGATCACTCTCTCCACTGCAGGAGCTAACATTACTAAACAATTCAGTTTGTAATTTTTTTTGGAAAAACTTAAAAGTTAAAATTTCAATTCTGCCTATGTTAAAATGCATAATTTCTTGAGAAATCAAAATCAAAATTTAAAAACTCGGGAGAGCCACAGGACTGGTATTAGCTTGGTATTGAGATTCTAAGTAAGTGGGTCGGTTTTGAAGCGAGAATTTAGTTTCCCAGTAAAAATCGTCTAAGTGCGGGTAAATGGCGGGACTAACTATGACCCTGTGCAACGCTGGGTTTCCAAGCTAGTAAATATATATATACCTAATATTATCATTATTAACTGAGAGCTTTAAGTTTGGCATTCCATTAAATGAGTTTGTATCTAGTGGATTAGAAGTAGGAGTGTAATCGAACTCATCCTGCTGCATAGTCGGGGGAGAGGACCGGGATAAATCTCCGGGATGAACAGGGAACAGAGCTCCCACGTCCTAAAGTTCAAGAAATAATGTTTGGAAGAATTGAGAGAAAAATTAAAATAAATTTTTGAATCTTGTCATTTCATATTTAGAGTCAAAAATGTCATTAAAACGTCAATGATTAGCATGATAAATGCCAAACATGTTTTTCCGCTCCAAAAATGAATTTTAAATGAGCATTATGGTTTTGTATTTATCATGTACTAGAATATTACCTTATTAGTTACAGGAGTAAGGGCATCTAAAAATTTTATTGGATTGTCTTCACTTTCTAAAAAAAGAATATCTGAATTTAACAGAATCTATCTATCTACCTATTATGACTCCCCAATACCGCAAGTGTTTTCAGGTAACCACCCCTCCCTGCAACCCAGAGCCCCCTTCTGGGGTGCATGGATCACAGATATAGCATGACATATGCAATGATGCTGTTATGCCCGAGTGGCAGTAGCCGAAGCAGTTAAGCCCCAACTACCGTGGCCTGTATCTACAGCCTGCATGCAACTGTCATTAGGGATGAGTTTTCAAGGTTTGGGTGAAAAAAGGAAAATTGAACATTAATTGGGACAGTGCTTAGGATCCATTTGATTTTGATGCGGATCCGGATCCAGGGCATGAACATTTCTTTAAGATTTAATCATCTTTCACCTGAAGAAGAATTTTAAAAAAATTTATGATTAAAATTTTAGAGATAAGGAAGTTTTTGATAATATCTCTTTTTCAACAATTCAGATTTTTTTGTTGATATTTTGACCCCTGGATCCGAATATTTGTGCGGATCCGGTATAGAAAGCCAAAATGTTGGGGATCCAACGGATCAGCATCNGAAAATGTTTATCCTTAAAATATTAAATGTTGACAGTTGAAGTATTTTAAGGTTTACCTTCCGTTCTATAAGGTTGATTATATATATCAATATCATCTGGTTCCGTGTCCTGCTTCTCCGTCTTCAACCTGACAGGGTCGTAGTAGAGATCCATACTTTGAACACGCTCCCGAGTCTGCTCCGATGCACTTGAAACTTAAAAAAGGAAATTATGCCGCTTTATTTCTTAATTCTCTCAATGAAGGGCATTTTGCGTATCTCATGGTAAAAAAAATCATTTTTATGGAGATGTATATAGAATAAATTGTCAAAATTACGACCTAACCATTGAATCAAAATGAATCATGTATTTCTGAAAATGTTTTTAAAAATTTATAGTATACCCTGTCTTAATTTAGTATAACCTTAGACTAAAATTATAGTTTTGATTTTAAACCAAATTTTCATTTTATTTCTACTCCTTGGATACCTGCTGAACTAAAGGAATCAGTCCGTTTCGGTGATCTACTATTTCGACTTGGAACCGAGCTAAAATCCTCCTCAGGCTCCTCTTGTTTCCGGCTGAATAGAAACGAATCGTCCGTCGGTTGTGAAGAGAAGGGAGAGAAAGGAGACTCGGGAATAGCCTCCTCTCCAAGCTCTGGGGTCGATATAGAGTCCTCAAATGATATAACTTGTGAAGAACTTTTTACTTTCTTCTTCACTTTGGACCGACTTTTAGATGTTGTGATAACTTGATCAGTCTTCGATCCTTGTGCGATCTCTTGGCTTGGATCCTTTGTAGATTGGGATGGTTTAAGAACGGGGAGAAGAGAGGAGAGAGAGTTAGAGAAAACCTGAGGAACGCTCTCTAATTCCCCATTCAGTTCGGGATCATCAATTCTAATCAAAAACTTTTTCAAATATTTAGTTTTAAAAAAGTCCTCTGTAATTCTTTTGTTTTTCAGTGCTTAGGATCCGGATCCGTTGAATCTGCAACATTTTTGCTGTCTGGATCCAGATCCTCAAAAATATGCAAATCCACGGATCCGGATCTAAGGGACAAAATATCAACTGAAAAACTTTTTGCTTTCAAAAGTCAAAACCCAAACAAGATCTTCTTATAAAACGAGAGATTATTAAAAAGCAGGATCCGGATCCGTATCAAAATTAAATGGATCCTAACCGCTGGTTTTATAAAAGTAAAGAATTGAAAAAAAAGTTTCCTGATTGCAAATCTCACAGATGTTAAACCAGCCGCCATACTTGGAAGTAAAACTGATCTTTCATCATCCCTATATTAAAATTAATTTAATATTATGAAAATTAAACTTTAATTGCAATAATCTAACCTCAAAAATGCCCATTCTTCATATATCTGGTTTAGTTTCTGCTTTTCTCGGAGAAGAGAGAGAAGAAACCGTTCTAAGCTCTGCTCATTCAAACTTGACCTGAATACAATTAATTAGAACCTTGACGTGAAGAAATTAAGAAAAAACTCGTGTATTCATTTTCATCATCTTGAATTCTTTTTTTGTACTATTAACGTGATTAACATACGTGATAACGTCATAAAACTATATCTGATGCGATCCCGAATAAAAAGCCACTATGAATACATTACGCAATACACAACATAAATCGTATTACACGTATGTCGTACACATTAAACTTGCATAAGTTCACATGGAAACATACATGGTATCATCACTCAATCGGAGAAGAGAAAATTGTTTGTGATGTGAGTAATAGGTGTGCAGTACAAAATCAGGGAATAGTAGATCTCTATCAATAAGAATAAAGAAAGGTTCTAACCTAATCCAAGCTCTGCCTCTGCCTAGATCAGTGCTAATCTTACTGAGGAGCATAAACCTCTGCTGTTCATGAGAGTTTAATAAACTCTTCAGTAGATTCCAGAGGTTACGTCCTGCCACCTCTCCTCCTCCCACCAAATCACGAACATTTCTAAAAGCATTTATATTATTTTTTTAATCCAAATTTTNGAAACTGTGGCCATTCAACCCAGCCAAGTCCTTCGATTAACTTTGAAATTACATTTAACACTTAAGAAAGAAACCTTTAAAGCAGTTCTTAGATCAATTTAATTTTGATGCGGATTCGGAGACTGGGTTCGCACTAAAAAAATGAATCCGGATTTTTAGGTCAAAAGAAAAATTTTCAAATTAATTTTCTTCTTTTTTTCGCTTATTTTTATGCTTTAATATCATGAATCATTGAGTGATAAATTTTTTGATAATCTGGTAATTTCTTAGTTTACGATTTTGCACCCCCCATCCTATCTATTTTGTCCATGAATCTCATTTGAATCATGTCATGTGGCCGCAGCGCCCGGCCCCCTAGCCTGTCCTAGAGCGGCGCTCGGCCCTTAGCCTGTCCTAGCCGCAGCGCTCGGCCCAGAAATTGTCTTAACCTAACCTTACCATAAAATAATACTAAATAAATAATGATTTTGCTGTTGAAAATTGAATATTGGTCATGTACAAAATTGATAGGAGGTGGGGGGGGGGGGTCCAAAAATCGTTCTCTAAGACAGACCCTGATAATCTCTCGTTTTAAACAGTTCAGATTCGAGTTTTCAGATTAAACAGGTATTTTGCATCTTCCAGGAAGCCAAAATGTTACGAATCCAACGGCACTGCTTTAAAGTTAGGCTTTTTTTTAAGAATTGAATATAAAAGGTCATTTAAAAATTGCTAAAAATATATGATAAGAGTAATTATGACCTGATGACAGCTAGACCCAAGTTAGTATCCTGATCTCTGAGTCCATGGTTCAGGACCAGCTCCAATTGTCTACAGAGCTCAACAATAGTTTCCTCTTCTCCGGTAGCAAGCTCAGTCCGTCCTCCGTATCTAACCTGGAGCAGGACCCTTAGAATTTGTTGCGCAACACGAATATTTTTAGGTTTTCATAGCTGGGAACTTGTTTTGGATGCTCATAATCCCGATAAATTGATCTCGATATCCACAATGGACACTTTTAATTTGAGGATCAGTGCTTAATCTCATGATTTTAGTTATTCCTCCAGGGTAAGATTACCATGAGGGATATCAAATAAAGCGTAAATTAATCTGTAGACCAACAAAATATCGAGATCAAGCATTGATCTCGTTATTAACAATACAAGTGTTCCCAGCTCAGGTCAGTTATTTGAAATGCATCATTATAAAATGAGAAAAAAATTTTGTATGAACATTGAACAGAGCTGTTATATACTAATAAACTCTTAGCAGTTATGTAGGATAGATAGCTTATCCATTATCAATTCTATATATGATAAATATTTGTTTATTAAATTTTCTTATTATCACAACATTACTATTTTTAAAAAGAATATCAATAATATTGACACATTTCAAACAACTCTTAAAATAAGCTATTGTGAAAAAATTGTAGTAATATCGATTTAAGAACTTGTTGAAGTTTATATAAAACACATACCTGACATTTTTTAACGCAGTCTAACAGTTTTTCAAGCAATTTCTGTCTCACCTAGAATATATTAATGACGCATCAATTATTTATTAATAAATTATTTGTAAATATTTGATAATCAGGTAGAGAACGATCTATGGACCCCCCCCCTCCTGTCAATTTTGTACATGGATCTCATATGTAACACATGAATGTAATTGGTCATGTGGCCGCAGCCCGGCCCCCTAGCCTGTCCTAGCCACAGCGCTCGACCCAGAAATAGTCTTAACCTAACAACCTGACTCTAAAAAACAAAAAATAAATAAAAAAATAAACAATTTTGTTGAAAATAAGTGGTCATGTAAAAAATTGAAAAATCGTTCTGCTGGACAGACTCAAGTATCTTATTTTTTTGTTGGGGTCTGTCCTAGTATACGATTTTTGGAAACATATCTTTAAGATAAATATTAAAAATAAGTAGCATATAAACCTGTGAGGCTGAAGACGCCATTTTAAAACAAAAATTAGGAGTTTATTTTTCATCCAGTGGCTTCTTAATTATTTAGCAACATATTATCTAGGAATCGATTTATTTATTTCGTTTTTAAATTCTTGACTTACTGTTGCCTACACAATATAAAATGTAATAAAGAAATAAAACATAGTCAGATGCTAAATCTTTTCCTGTATCGCATTTCAAGATTTTCACAATTTAAAGGTTTCTTTTCCAAATAGATGTTATGTTATTGACATGTTATTGTGCGAGTCTAAACTCCCCTTGTACTTTTTTGTACAGTCCAATGTTTACTGTGAACTGCAGAGAGCAGCTGAGTTTTAATAATTCCGACTTACATTCCTTACATTTATATACTAAACTAATTTTTCTCCGATAGGAATTAGGAAACGGAACAGCGCTGAGGCGGCTCGCGGCCGGGGGGGGGGGCGGGGGGACATCCCCATGGAAAAATTTGGGGCGCAGCTATAGAGAGGGGGCAAATTCTTAATCTTTCTTTAAATTGATAACCCTGGTCCAGGCATTGCCAAAATGTGTCAATGCTCCGACATTTTTAACGTTACTTAATATTTATTAACTCACCTCTTTTATTTAAAGCCCTATAGTGTTATCTATAATCATATCAGAATTTTGGTTAATCTCATTTACAATAAAAGTTATAAGTATTTAAAGAAATTGCAGTCAATAAATAATTAGTTTCCGCAATTTTATATCAGTCAAAAGGGATAAGGAATAAATTGCACTATGCTTTGCAAATTGTTTTAGTGTTTAAGGGGAGTGGGGATAATCGGAGATAGTTTGTTCTTTTTCACTCTCATCTTCTCTCAGTTTGGCATTCAGCTCATAATACAATTTCAGAATTTCATTTGTAGTCTACACGTAATACTTTGCTTGTCTGTCTGCCTGTCCGTTTGTATCCAATAAACGTCAAAACAGCTGAACTGATCGGGCACAAATTTAGTGTGGGACCATACATGACCTCTGGGAAGGTTTATAGATGCTCAGAAGTACAAAAGTTGTTTAGTTCTTCGTAAAATTTTGAAAATCCATGAAAACATATAGTAAATCCGCAATTTGTTTACCATTGTTCCATCGAAAAAAAGTCGCTGAAAGATTGAGCAACAATCAAAAGTTAAAATAGCGATCGACTAGTTTTATAAATTCCGGAAACTTTAACACTAAAACTTTTACATACCGTTCCACATTGGAGAATAACCAATAAATCATATAAAAAAATAACCAGTTGTGTTTTCTGCATAATTTTCTATCCTAGAACCATTTTTTAAAATGATAATTAAATCTTCTAAAACTTTTGTCTAGTTTCAAAAATTCGAAATCAGAGCTGTGAAGTATTTACATGTAAACAAAAAAAGGTTCATGTAAATTGTAAATATTCATGTGCGCAGTTGCCATCACGGACGAGCGCAGATTTTATTCGGTCTTTTTCAGGACAATGTATTATGTAGTTCCCTACATCACTCATTTCATGTCTTTGACAAAGAATTCATAAAAGAAATATTTTATCGGTAATTCTGAATAAAAAATGTCTTTTCTAGTAAAAATTAAAAATTACCATGATAGTCTTAGATCTCTCTCTTTGTATAACCTTATAATTTTCATATAATTGGCTTAACTTTAAAAAATGTTGGTCTAACTGTGGAAATCAGATTCTCTGATATACAGTCTATAAAAAACATATATCCGTGTTCCATATTTTATTTCCATTTCCATTTTTGTAAGAGCACTGAGGAATGCACTGCATGGATAACAATACAGTACAATGTTAGGAAGTTTGATATGAAACACCATCGTCCACGAAGTTACAATAAAGTACATAAGAAGAAAAATTGTCAAAAAATATACATAGTATACATAATTATTCATAGAGCAAATTCTGATTAGATCCTATCCTATCCAACCATATCCTATCCTAACCAACCCTATCCTATCCTATTTGAAGATAGCTTTATGAATAGTGACAGGATTATCCTGCCTAGATAAGGCAGTGGAGAGAGGTCTACCAGTACAAGGTTCCATCTCCTTCCACCAGCTCTCACTACCCCTAGAGACAATAATAAAGTAAACAAATAAAAAAATTTTAAAAATAAAATAATTAATCAATTAAATTTTCCTTTTTTAAGCCCTGAAATTTTGGTAAGGAAGTGTAAATAAAAAAAAACAGACGATTCTAATTTTACACCAAAGTTTTAAAACAGAGATACTTCTAATTCTAAACCGATAAAAAAACGACAAAAGACTTAAAGGAATTGAATCATTGCCACAAACTAAAATTTTCTAATCCCTATAGATATTTGCAACCTGATGGTGTAAACCGTTTATATTTTTAAACTTTGATTATTTGATATTACAGAATTCATAGTTTGAAATAAAAAGTTTTACGACATGTGTTGCAAAGATATTAGGATTAGAAGAAAAAAGAGTTTAGATAGAGTCAGTTGAAAAATGTATTTACTAAAATCAGCCCATTTTTCTTTTCTTATCTTGGTTTTGACCTTTTAAACCGCATAGTTATAATTGTTTAGAATCATCTGATGACTATTTAGTAACTCCAACATTTCTAAAATATCTTAACTATCCCTTTAAGTGAAGGTAAGGATTGCGGTTTACAAAGTTTTTGGATTCAATCGTGTTTGTTGAAGTTTTCTGAATTGTACACTTGTACACACGGGTCTTGTAAAACTATAGAATAGACTGAATAACCTGTGCCCCAATTTTATTAATTTGAGCCGTGTCGTAAATACCCCCAAAAACCGGTTTCAATTGAGCGCCGGCTTAAATCTTTAAGCAATGAATACGATTTTAAGGGGAACCGACCACATTTGAGCCGCGGCCTAAATTTAAGCCACGGCTCAAAATCTTTAAATTCGGCCTCAGGAGACTTTTAAACCTGCATTCCGTATTTAGCATAAATGTTTCTACTTGTTCTTATAACGGTGTATTCCCCTTGATTCAAACTCCTTGAATTTCACGAGTTCATAATCTGACTTGTCTGAGGCTTGTGGAACCTTTCCACGTATATCTCTCAACTCTTCAGCAATAGCTCTGAAAATGTCAACTTTTTAGTAATTTCTAAAACAGGAGTTACTAGTTCAGTCACTTCTTAAGTGCGATATATATGATAGGGTTCAAACCCACAACACCCTCCAATATATCTAATTCCTAGGTTTTATGGTTATTCAAGAGCTCATAATACCTAATATGATAGGGTTCAAACCCACAACAGCCCCAAATATATCTAATTCTTAGTTTGTATGGTTATTCAACAGCTCATAATACCTAATATGATAGGGTTCGAACCCACAACACCCTCCAATATATCTAATTCCTATGTTGTATGGTTATTCAAGAGCTCTAATACCTGATATGATAGGGTTCAAACCCACAACAGCCCCCAATATATCTAATTCCTAGATTTTATGGTTATTCAAGAGCTTTAATGCCTAATACGGTAGGGTTCAAACCCACAACAGCCCCCAATATATCTAATTCCTAGGTTGTAGGATTAACTCAGAGCTCTAATACCTTATATGGTAGGGTTCAAACCCACAACACCCTCCAATATATCTAATTCCTAGGTTGTAGGCATCCCTAGCAAACTTCTTCGCTTCCCATCTTGTTATCTGACGGGGTTCACAAGCTGAAATAGAAGATTTATATGAAATCAATTGTTTGTATATTTACTTTAAAATGATATTTTAAATGTTTTTCGTGAATTAATGGTCACATTTCTATTCATAATGAACTGAGATTAAACATTTCTAAATGATCAATCCTCTAAGCTGACATATCTTACCAAATGGAAACTCCGGAACAGTCACCCATCCATAGTTTCCCCCATCAGGGCAACGGAATCCTGAATATATATATATAAAGTTGTTATCTCTGTTTGTCTGTTTGGTCGTTTGTCCGATCATAACTCAGGAACACCTGGACCGATTTGATTTTGTAAAATCGTTCAAGTGCGGGTAAACGGCGGAGTAACTTTTAAAACCTGGCCAGCGCTGGGTTCCCAATCGAGCATTATAATTCTCTTCAACATCAAGGGTTGGTATCTCTCTTTAAAGGGGTTGTTCGCAAGTTTAAAGTTTGAGTATTTGAGAAAATTTAAGGAGGATAATTAAAATATCTCTCTTTATAAGGATCGTTCGCAAAATTAACTTTTTTAAAATTTGAATATTACAGAAAATTTAAAGAACGATCATTAAAATTTTAATCGATCTGAACTGTTTATATTCCATTCTAACGATCCGAAGAAGTTTGATTTGATCCAAAATATGTTACCAAGAGGTTGAACCATGAGATAGGGATGAAGATTCTCCTGATCTAGAGCAGCTTTCATTTCACTCATCACATCCAGAAGAATATTTGGATCAAACAGACAGTTAACACCGACAAGATCTGCACCTGCTCTAGCCATCCTAGGATCATATCATGCATTAGAAAAACAGGATTTTTAACCTTTCACACCTGTCAATTAAATAAAGAAAGTTTTTTGCCACAAAGTCAAATTGCATATTGTGTAGTTCTCAAGAATACATACCTGACAGCACATTCTCTGACAGATACATTGTTTTCATCTCCTGAAGGGGCCATACACATAGTAGCTGCTACTGGTTTATCTGTCTCCTTTGCTACTCTAATGGCAATCTCCATTTCCTCAATGTTCCGGAAATACTGAAATTTTTCATAGAAAAAAATGGATATGCGAGATTCTTGCATCATAATGGTTACCGACATAACATTTAGTTAGACATTATCTTGTCCTATGTATATTAATTACCTCACAGATAATAACATCAATATCATTTTTAATATAGATCTCCACAGCTCTTCTCAGATCTAACTCCGCCTTGGCATTTGAGCTGGAATCCACGTAGTTTCCAGTCTGGGACAATCCAGCTGAATTACAGACGAATTTAGTTATTCACAAACTCTGATTTTCTTAGTTCTATATCTTTGCAATTCGATCTCTTAGACCTGTTCGATAAAATAATCTAAGTTTTGAAATAGCAAAGGTTACCCCATAAGGTTGGAAAGATATAGAAATTAGAAAATTCGAGTTTTGTGGCAAACCGCAGTTCAATTAAATATATTTTTTTTGTCGGTTTAATTAAGTTTTTCCAAAAACTGTGATTTTGTAAGGAACTATATTCGTAGACCTTCGATATTTCAAGCAATTAATACTGTTCGATAAAATAATTTAAGTTTGATCAATATCAACGGTTAACCCCTTCCGGTTGCAAAGATATTTGAATTAGAAAATTTGATTTGGTGGCAAACACTTGATTCTTTGCCATTTTAAAAATATTTTTTTTCTTCTTCTTAGAGTTACATAACTAAAAGTCGAATTCGAAGCGTTTTAAAGTGTAAAGTCAGTGAAAATTCGTTGTTTTATTAAACCATGACAAAACTTTCTTGAATCTGCAAAATATGAAGATTTCCCTCCCATATAAACCCATATGAGGGGCAAAGTCGATGAGTTTAACATTAAATTTTTGTCTATTCTTTTCACTTTATGTTACCTGCAGTAATGGTTCCATATTGCTTTGCAATTTTTTTGGCAATGTCACAAGATGTTTGGTTTATCTCATCGCACTAAACACAAGATGTTTGGTTTATCTCATCGCACTAAACACAAGATGTTTGGTTTATCTCATCACACTAAACAACAACTTATTACAACGTTAAGATAAATTATTTTATAGACATTACCATTTTAAACTATTTAACAATTATTTCAGACATTTATATTAGGAGAGTTTTTCAGTTTTTTTTTTGCTAAATGAATTTCCTGTATAAAAACCAGTCATACAAGGCGCAGAGTTCAACCTTCATATATTTTTGCCAGCCTTCATAAAGGCCTTTCTTAATACATAATAGTATTGTATTTCTGTGGCTTCGATCTGCTTCTATATTTATAATTTGTGCTTTTTCCAGTTTTTCTTTTAAACCATTAACACTTCCAAATTCAAATATTCTAATTAGCATAATTTTGAAAACTGCATTGGTCGTAAACATTAAATATTTTAAACTATGGTTTATGTAAGGCCAAAAAGTTTAGATAAAAAATATTAAAGATTACACAGAATATATGAAAACTATAGAGGGACTAGAAAATATTAAAGATTACACAATCAAGTTGCAAAGATAGTTTGTTGCGAGTGTTCAGTCACTTAAAGAAAAAGGATATTATTGTGTTATAATAATATACCAAAACTATAGTATTTATGATATCAAATTATATATTTTTATTAAAATTGTATAAATTTACCAAAATTGTAGTAATTATGTAATCAAAATTATAGATAAATATTAAAATAATAGTATTATATCAAAATTACAGTGTTTTATCAAAATGATAAGCATTTTATCAAAATTATTTAGTATTGGATTTCCAAATTATTTAGTATTGGATTTCCAAATCAATCTTTTTACAAGTTTTTGTCCTAAGGCCGAATTTAAAGAATTTGAGCCGCTGATTAAATTTAAGCCGCGGCTCGAATATGATTGGTTCCACTTAAAATCGTATTCAATGTTTCAAGACTTTAGCCGGCGCTCAATTGAAACCGGTTTTGAGACGCGACTCAAATTTATTAAATTCGGACTCTGGTTATTTTAATGAATTGTTAAATGTTACCGTGTACTTGCAGTCCTTGGGAAGATTATCCTCGTGACACCAAAATGTAAATGTTTGAGTAACATCTGCACCTGATCTGCAGAACTCTATAGCAAGCTGTTCAACTGCTCTAAACAGAATGTAAATGTTTGAGTAACATCTGCACCTGCTCTGCAGAACTCTATAGCAAGCTGTTCAACTGCTCTAAACAGAATGTAAATGTTTGAGTAACATCTGCACCTGCTCTGCAGAACTCTATAGCAAGCTGTTCAACTGCTCTAAACAGAATGTAAATATTTGATTAACATCTGCACCTGATATGCAGAATTCAAGCTGTTCAACTGCTCTAAACAAGATTTTAAAAACAATTTTACCCATTCTTTGGAATATCAAAGGGTATTAAAGAGGGGTATGCCCTATTCACAATGGTTTCCTTTTAAAGCTTTATCTGTTCAAAACGTGGAAGATATCGTGTATTTTTCTGGCTTAACAAGTTTTTATTTTGACAATTCCTTGCATTAACTCTGCAGCATTATTCAGAGACACAACAATTTAAAATGCCAATTTTCAAAAAGAAAAACATAGATTTCTATTATCTAATTCGTTCTTAATATTAATAAATGTTTTAAAAATGATGATAACTTACTGTGGATGTTCAGGTGCAGCTTCCGGTGTCCAATCTCCAGCTTTCACATAACTAAATATTAATTTATATATTCTTATTGAGTCCTGGAACTAAACACTGTACAAGTTTATACACTCAACTAGAAGAATTGGAGAAGGTCGAATTCATGCAACTGCAAGACTGGTAAATTAGCAACATTTTTGTTCTTCATAATGAGGAAATATGATCGAAAACATATCAGATTTTAACGTAATCTAAAAGAAATTTTGAGTCTTTGCCCCAAACTCAAATTTTCTAATCCCAATTGAAATATGTAAGCTCAACGACATTTGGTTGCAAAGATGTAGAGATTATTTAAAACTGAGTTTGTGGCAAAGACACAATTTCTTTACTAATCCTTTATGTGACTTGCCACAAACTCTAATGACCTTAACACAGTTCTTGGCAGAAATTTATTTTATATTGCAAATGATTGTTCTGTAAATCCTTCGGATCTCAGTAAAATGTTAGTTAAGAAACAAATGAAATATTTTGATGTCCCATTGGAACATGCATGGAGAGTTCCGGTTTTACAAGAACTTTTAAATACAAGAATGAATAATTTATATGTTGAAGGATTCGATGATTACGTAATAACTGAAATGATTAATATGTTATGTAATGAGTAAAAATCAATGTTGTCTATTTGTGCATAATTTTGCATATCTTTCTCTTTTCTTTTGGAAACCTGTATTTTCAAAAATTCATTTAAACAAATTTAAAATACACCATTTATATATGTATTTATATCTTTGTGTGTGAATAAATCTTTATAATAATAATATTAATTTTTATCCCATTTTTCTTTGTAACTTTATGTTACAAATTTCGTTCTAATTTATATAATAATCAAAGATCTACGACATCAGGTTGCGAAGATGAATGGATTAGAAGCGCTTATTGGTCCTTTACCCTCGTTTCTCCAGGGTTACAGCGTAGCTACCATCTCCAAGTATAACCTCCCCAGCTGCAAGTCTGGACAACATATCCTTAGAGAAAAAAATCAATTTTACAATCTAAAAATGTAGGAAACTCGCAATTAAAAATTTGCAAATTTTTTTGATTTTCTTGTCTTTTTTAATAGATAGGTAGTTCAGCATTATTGTTATGATTTTTTTGTACATTTATACCTTCTTTTCCATTTTCTAGTGCCTTAATGTGATTTATGAATCTGAAAATAGAAAATAAGCATTTTTCTTTCATTACTCAAAAATAAATAGACATAGACAAGTTTGATTTATTTGTTTTTTGAAATTTCAAAACAAGAAATTCTAACAATTAGAACTGGCAAAGCTTCAGATGCTAAATAAGAAAGTTCTGTTAAATTAAAAATAATAACATGTCTTCCGTATATTCAGTAGAAAAGGTTTTGGATTGAATTACAGATATCGCAATTTATTAATATTTAATTTATTGCCTCTCTCTGATTTCAGACTATTCACAGTAGAGTGTTAAGTCACAAGAAGAACTTGATTGAATGATATGAAAATCAAACTTGATTATTTATTTATTTAAAGTGACTGTACCCACAGTATTTACCAGTAATTTGTTGCCGTCTTTTTTATTCCAACGTTCCATTTATATTCCAGAATTCCCTTTCTATTCCAGGGTTTTCTATCCGTCCTGCATTGTTCCCTTTTTATTCCATAGTCACTTTTCTTTTTCAAAGTCCCCTTTCATTTGGACGGTTCCTTTCCTATTCCAGGGTTCCTTTCTATTCCAAGTTCCCAGTTATTGGATACTTACTTACATTTTGGTGATATGCGGTCACTTATTTTTCAGGGTTCCTTTAACATTCTAGGGTTAATTTTTTTCACGAGTTCCTTTTCTATTCAACCGTTTTTTGTCTATTCAGTTCATTTTCTATTCAAGAGATCCTATTCTATTCCAGAGTTCCGTTTCTATTCCAAAGTACCCCTTATCATTAGCAGGATTCCTTTTCTGTTCCATGGTTTCTTACTAATTTAATTAATTTTACTTATTTACTTAACCACGTTTCTCCTGCATTTAGGTGAATATGATCACTGATTTTGCAGAGTTCTTTTCATATTCTAGGGATAGTTTTCTTTTCACGAGTTCCTTCAACGGTTTTTGTCTATCTTTAAGTTCCATGTCTATTTAAGGGTTCCAATTAAATTCAAGGGTTCCTTCCTTTCCTTTCCTATTCTAGAGTTCCTTTTATATTCAAGGGTTTCTTTTCTATTCAAGAGTTCCTTTCCTATTCAAGAGTTCCCTTTTTATTCAAGGATTTCTTTTCGATTCACGATTTCCTTTCTATTCATTAGTTCCTTTTCTATTCAAGGGCTTCTTTACTATTCAAGAATTCCTTTACTTTTTCAGGGCTCCTTTTCTATTCAAGAGTTCCTTTTCAATTCAAGGGTTCCTTTTCTATTCTAGAGTTCCCTTTCTATGCAAGGGTTCCTTTCCTATTCAAGAGTTCCTTTACTATTCAAGAATTCCTTTACTTTTCCAGGGTTCCTCTTCTATTCAAGAGTTCCTTTTCAATTCAAGGGTTCCTTTTCCATTCAAGAGTTCCTTTACTATTCAAGAATTCCTTTTCTTTACCAGGGTTCATTTTCTATTTAAAAGTTCCTTTTCTATTCAATAGTTCCTTTTCTATTCAATAGTTCCTTCTCTATTCAAGGGTTCCTTTTTTATTCTAGAGTTCCTTTTTTATTCTAGAGTTCCTTTTCTCTTAACGATTTCCTTTTCAATCCACGGTTATTCTCTATTCCAGGGTTCTTTAAGGGTTCCTTTTCTATTACAGGGTGTCCTTTATCTTATTTTTTATGTTCCACTGTATTTCTTATTTTCCAAGGGGTTCTTTTAATCAGAGATCACACGTTTTTCCTCTTTTATTTTTTTTAACCATGAACCGACTCTTTATTAGTTACCGCATATATCAACATTATTGCGTAATTTAAAATCTAATATTTTCATACTTCAGTAACCGTGCACTAAACCTGATTTGAAATAAATAGTTGTTTTGATATTTTTTGTTTAATTTATATATTCCGGAAAATAAACATATGTTAGCACTATAGATATAAGTTTGCCTATAAATCAAAAAAGGGTGCCCTAAAATACTGAAAAGTTTCTTCGTGGATTTTTTTCAATAAATATTAAAGGGAGTGTTCGCGAAAAATGAAAGGGGGTATAGGCTTAATGCGATAAAAAAGCACTTTATTTTATTATTAAAACGACTAATACCGATCAGAACGTAGTGTCCATAAAAATTCAGAAAGATGCACCATTCAACTCGGATCGTTAACAAATCAATTTAATTCCAAATAAATCATTCAGATATTAGAAACAATAGTCATAGATTATTTTTCGACGCACTCGCAAGTAGTTCATATTTCATAATATTTTGTACTTTTCATGATCTGAGAGTTACTTTTGAAAACATTTATTCCTGTTTCGAGGACTTTTGATAATAAAGACGATATTTTCATATTTTCCAGGAATGTTCGAAAATCCAGCGCCAGCGAAAATTATTTTAAAAAACAAAATAAAAAATTTTTAGTTGTAGAATCTGAAAATCCCAGCGACTATCACCTGAAAGTTCCAGTTAAGGAGTAAAATACGAAAACATCAGAAAAGTGTAGTGCAGTGTGGTCCAGTCTAAAAAAGGTGAGGCGCACACGTATTTTCCGTTTTGTGCTAAATTGGCTTAATTATATCGTTTTATTTTTCAAACAAAATGCATTTTAAACAAAATCAAATCATAACATATGACGTTGCCTAAATTTGAAAAAGTGTTTTAAGGCATAAAACATACATTTGAAAACACAGAAGCCACGCCTGGATGAAAAGAGGTGTGGTAGGAGAAAATAATGGTGAATTGTTACGTCATTTTTGGTACGGACAAAAAAATGTGTGGTAGGAGGAAATAATGGTGAATTGTTACGTCATTTATGGTACGGACGAAAAATGGTGTGGTAGGAGGAAATAATGGTGAATTGTTACGTCATTTTTGGTACGGACGAAAAATGGTGTGGTAGGAGGAAATAATGGTAAATTGTTACGTCATTTATGGTACGGACGAAAAATGGTGTGGTAGGAGGAAATAATGGTGAATTGTTACGTCATTTATGGTACGGACGAAAAATGGTGTGGTAGGAGGAAATAATGGTGAATTGCTACGTCATTTATGGTACGGACGAAAAATGGTGTGGTAGGAGGAAATAATGGTGAATTGTTACGTCATTTATGACTTGCAAATTCCCGTCTAGCTATTCAGCAAGGGGAAAAATGGCTAGATGAAAATACTCTTTTCGTAAAACAATGTGCGTGAAAAAAATACATAAACAAAAAGATTGAAATCTTACGTATGCATATCATTTTACATAACCGGCCACATGCATCAAATTCTACATAATAACGAAAATACACATGTGCAAGAAAACACATGAATAAAATTTAACATTATTACAGCCATAAAAATGTACATGCAGACCGCCAGATTGAAATTGTACATAACACAATACTAAATTATGAAACATTGTTTCACAGAGTTTCAATTTTTCCAAAAACACTTTTTAAAACCGAATTTTCGGTTTAGCGTTTCAGTTTTCTTTTGAAATTTAGAATTTAAAGCAATAGAAGTTTTCTAAAATAATCTACATATTCTTAAAGAATCTACATAATATAGTAATATTTATTTGTCGTTTATATAAGTGGAAATAAAATTTTGCGCCCTAAAAATTCCACCAACTTACACTTTACATTTAATATTTACGAGATAGCTTAGTTAGAATCAATATTATTAGTTCAGAAATATATATTTTCTTGCTGCTCTGCTAAATATCATAGAAAATATTTTGAACCATTTTAACGCTTTCAGTACTCAAGTTATGAACAAGAATTTCTTCACATTGATTTGAGAATTCTAGAAATATTTTTTTCTTGTCTACATCTTGCTGGGAACCGGAGATATGACCGCTAGCATGGCAAACTTTTCAGAAAAATATGATTTCAATCAATAAATCAATATTGCTTGAGAAGATAAGTTTTCAGAGTTTGGTGAAATAGCTGGGGAGTTACTTGGAACTAATTTGAAGCACCCCTGTTGTCAGAACCTATGGAATAATTCTATTTTAACACACATTGTTGCAGTCTGGTGAGGTTCGTTCAACAGTTCAATTTCTACAATGTTCCCAATACTAACTTTATTTTCTGATTTTACCGACTGCATGCTGCAGATAAATCTAGATTTTTTTTTTACAAAATGTCTGAAGGTCGATTACACGTACGTCGTTATATAAAAGTACATATGATGCAACCTTTAATCCCAACTAATTAATCCGAATATCCACTGTGGAAACTTTTAATTTTAGTCCTTAATCCACTCTTTTTCTCTCTCTTTGGATATCCGTACATTATTTTCTCCAATGAGAGTGCAGGAATATAGTTCGTAAATTGTATTGACCAATGACAGCCTTGAAAATAAATACTATCCCATAAGAGAAATCCGCAATTTCTAAGAAATAAAGAATTTGTTGTCAGCCATTTTGTAAATTAATCGGTGAAGAAAAATATTTAACAGGTTTGAGATTCTTTCGTAACCAATTTTAAATAATGTATTAATAAATAAATGGAAGAGAAATTAAGTGAGGGCCCTTCCAGTCAAGAAAACGAACCAATCTGGCATTCTTAGAATCCAATTTGTTGATCTAAATATTTAATCTCAAGACAAACATAATCTCGAGATTATGTTAGTCTTGAGATTAGCAAAAACAGAGGATTAAGCATTAATTCTGATATCCACCATTCTGAAGTTCCCAACTCTGTACTGCCACAGAATTTCTTCGTGAGAGTTTGGGCTTAAGACTACTAGCCCTCGTGCATCAGGGACAAAATTTCCCCGATTGTTCAGCAGATCTTAATCTTAGGCAGTGACAGAAACCCACCAAATAACATTAAAACCTTTCGTTTCCAGGATTATCACTTCAAATATTTATATTGGTAGATACCCAGATAAATTACCTAAAATGGCCATCCTAGAGTTTCTTGAGAAAAACTCAATGAAATTTAGACAATTTAATCCTGTTGAACATTGGTATTCCTTATGCATGTTGTTACTTTCCTAAATCAATGACTTACTAATAATTTCAAAAACTGGTAAGAGTATGGTGTAAATATTTATCTCCTATCCCATGACTTATAAATCTAACCGTTTCCTAATATTTATCTCCTGTCCCATGACTTATAAATCTAACCGTTTCCTAATATTTAACTCCTATCCCATGACATATAAATCTAACCGTTTCCTAATATTTAACTCCTGTCCCATGACTTATAAATCTAACCGTTTCCTAATATTTAACTCCTGTCCCATGACTTGTAAATCTAACCGTTTCCTAATATTTAACTCCTGTCCCATGACTTGTAAATCTAACCGTTTCCTAATATTTAACTCCTGTCCCATGACATATAAATCTAACCGTTTCCTAATATTTATCTCCTGTCCCATGACTTATAAATCTAACCGTTTCCTAATATTTAACTCCTGTCCCATGACATGAGTAAGTTATGATTTTTACAAGAAAATCATATCATACCAAAGAAGATTGTAAAAATAAATTGAATATCAATTTTTGTTAAAAACTACAAGAAAATGGAAACATAAACCACGGGATTACTTCTACATTCTACAATCTTTATTTTTTTCATTCGTTTCCCAAGATTGGTCAAAAATTTATTACGTAAAGAGAGAAACAACATAAATAAAAACTAAAATATATAATTTGTAACTAAAGAGGTTGATGTCCTTTCTGTTTAAGTTTACTGGTTGTATATTGTTTAACCTCCTCCTCCTTCTCTAGCTGGAGTTTGGTGTTAGCCTCCTGGTAGCTCTTCACCAGGTCCAGGGCAGCTTTGATCTCAGTAGCGTACTGCTTCTGCTTGTACATTCGCTTTATCTGGGGGAAACTGAAAACAAAAACAAGTTTGTACAGGGGCGGATACAGGGGGGGGGGGCGGCGGGGGAAATTCGCCACCCCTCATGAATTTGGAATTTTTTGTTCCTATTTTCAGAATAGCTTATCAATAGCATGCTTAAGGGAAAGAAACCCTAGTGCAAAACAGGAAAAAGTCAAAAAAAAAATTTCGCCTGCAGCGTGATTTTTTGTTCCTAATTATGAATTTTTGTTCCTAAAAAATCTCCCCCCCCCCCCTCACTTAAATCCTGTATCCGCCCCTGAGTTTGTAATTTACATAGTTCAAGATTTTTTATTTTTACAATATTTAGGGGACGTTACAAAACGTATTAGTAAGTATTCCAAGGAAGAATTGTGAGAAATTCACATAGAAAACATGAGTAACATGCATACATATATTTTGCTAACGAAGAAATTACATGATTTATAAAATATTCTTAAATCTCAGAAAAAAATTAAACAATTATTTTCTGGGGTAAATATTCTTTGGTGGAAAATGTAACAAATTAGATATAAACTGATCACAAAACGTCATTTTTTCCCCCCCAAAAATAATATTTTTTCAATTCAATGAATAAATCCCTTTAATATTATCTAGCGTTCACACATTTAAACTTAAAAGTTTATATAAGTTTATATCTAACATATAAACTCATATATGGAACTAACCTCTACTTTATTAACTTTATTAGGTTTGGTCCATCAACACCAAAATATAAACTCATATCGAGTTACTGGGTGGGGTGAGAGTAAAAAAAATGATTTTATTTCGTATAAAGAAATATAGATCCCTATTATTTTATTTGAATTCTGACCTGGGAACACCGGGTCGGCCGTCAGCAAAGGACCAGTCCATGTCGTCTATTAAAGGTCCTTCAGAGTGAATATTAGATGGCAAACCCTAAAAATCAAACATAATAAATAAGTAAAATAAAAAAAATTGCAGAACATGCAGTTTTACAACCAGAAAACAACAAAAAGCATATTAAGCGATTAACGATAAAACCAAAATAGGAATTTTTAAAGATCCACTAACAATGTTTGATGTTGCGGAAACATATTAAAATGAGGGATAATATTGATGTCTTACAATGGACAGTAAGCGTAGTTTGCAGTGATCCTCTAGGCAATTGGAAATGTCTGACCCATAATAATACCGTAAAAGCTTTCTTGGAGATTAATGTTTAAAATTTTGAAAACTGATTAATTTAAAATTGTGGGTTCTCGACAAAAGTGACTTGTGCATCTCCACTGCAGGAAAACATATTTTTCTTATTCAGTTCCAACTTATACACTACACCTCAAGAATTGAGAAGGATATTTAAAATCCGTTTAATTTTGATGCGGATCCCGATCCTGGATCCGCACTGACAAAAAAATGGATCCGGATCCGGGTCATTTCTTTAAGATTTACTGAATGTTTTTAACAAAAAATAATTTTCTAATTTTTAGTTTTATTTTATTCGTTTATTTTTATCCTAAAACTTGATGAACCATTCAGAAATGAGGAAATTTTATAATCTCTTTTTTTTATCAAAAGTTCAGATTTGGGTTTAAGGAGTAAAAAAGTTTTTTTTTGCAGTTTTTGGTTAACATTTTACCCCTTGGATCCGGATCCGTGAATCCGCATATTTTTGCGGATCCGAATCCGGATCCAGGAAGCCAAAATCTTGCGGATCCAACGGATCCGGATCCTAAGCACTGTTTAAAATATCGAAATATATTTTTGAGACCCATCTTTTTTTTTTGAAGCAGTTGAAAAACTCTCTACCACAAAGGAATATTTATAATATTTAAATTAACAGAAATAAACATTTAAACCTAGATTAACGACCAAATCTTTCAGATTATTGATAACAAGAAAGTTTCAGGAGTACCATTGTGAATCGGGCACTGCCATTATTGCATGTAGGGTACCCTCTAAATTATGCGTACAGTCTCATTTAAATACAAAACATTTAAAAACGATTCATATATTGTTTATACTGACGACAAACAAAAAGACAAACGGTTTATACAGACAACAGACAAAAAGACAAACGGTTTATACAGACAACCGACAATAAGACAAACAATCAAGTGTTACTTGATGCTTATAAAACAAAGAAGACAGAAAGGAAAGAACCAGTGTTTAATAAGCCCCATGGGCACTGCGCAGTGAACAAAGGTGTGTATTTTTGCGAAAAATGAATTGTTCTCCCCCCCCCTTTTTGAGTATAATTTATATAAGTTATATATTATAATATATATTAAATATGCTTTCGCTTTATATCAATGAATTTTTGATTAAAGAGTATTTAAAAATGTTGCCCTATGATGTTCGATTGTCCATTTTCCCCCCAAAATCTTCAGATCACTCCCCTCCCCCCCCCCAGGGGAGAGGAGAGGGGTTAATTATGAAAAATATACACCCCTGCCCATGGGTTAGAAAAACCCGTAATTCTTTGCTAATTTCACCTGATCTTCTCTCCAAACTCCGCCCAAAGCTTTCCTTTTTCTTTTCCGAATCCAGCGATCTTTCCGAACCTCGTTCTTAGTATCGTGCCCCTCCTCCACACCGTAAATAATGTGCCTTAAATAAAACTTGGTTATCAATCGGAAATTAATAACTGTACATATGTTACATCAAATCCCAAATGGTTATGGCCTAGGAATTAGGGATGATCATTTATCAATATTTAGCACTATGTCCAACGTGCATTTTGCATAGGATTAGTTTTTATAAAATTCTAGGTTAAAGAATTCACAGATATAAGTGATCGATATGGGTATCAAAAGATCCACATTGAAACACCGAATTCAGAACTTTTAAAGCGTAAAAATCCGTTGAATTTTTAACAAAATAGAGGCAAAAAACTGATGTTTAAGAACAAAAATATCCGATTTTGGCAATAAATCAAATAAGTTTGATATCAAATGCGACATACTATTTGAATTTTTATTTTTTTTACATGTGAATTTTTTTGATTTTTGGCATGCAAAATATCAATTGTGGTCACGGTTTTAAGACAAAGGATCCTGAAATTTGTCTAAAGTCTTATAATTACAGGCACATGATGACATGATTTTCAAAAAAACATATATCTAAGAATTGAATTATGTTCACCTTGTCGCAGTTCTGGATTGCACCACTAAAGGTAGTTGTGAGCGTAGTCTACTGAAAACTCCGGCCTGTACCGTTTGAACCACAGCCATCATATTGTCTGTCTGTAAGAATATTACATTGGTAGGATACATGGAGATTTCTTTTAAGCCAAGTACAGCAGTGTACAGTGTACAGTGAACACTGTACAGTGTACAATGCAGTTCAGTTAACAGTGAATACAACTATGTACAAAATACAGAAACATCACAGTAGCATAGACATTAGACATATAACAATTTTAACACTTCTAAATTAAATAACAAATAAATAGAATTCAAGTTTAATTTAAAGAAAATGTTAAATTGTTGCTAGTAATCCGCAAAAAGAGGGAAAAGGTGGAGAGTATAACGTCGAGTTCTTTAAGTAAAACAGTTTTATTTAATGTATTTATAAAAAAATTTTATCCTTGCTGAATGAATTTAATTATGAGATGGTTATTCCTGAAGGGTGGAATTGAACATCGTATATTTGGAAAAACGATCCTGATAACAAAAAATTCCATCCTAATTAAAAACTAGAAATCTTACTGAGTAATTTTGGGAACAAATTTTAGAAATAAGATAATTATTCTGCTTGGCTTAATACTAGCTTAGACAAATAGTACATAGTATACAACTTCTTCAAACTGATGAGAAAAATTTAAATTAAATTATTATTAACTATTGCTATATAAATGTATTCATAATAATGAACAAAAATATGGGATTCATAGTCTTTTTTGGTGACTCAAAATGCCTCCTGTAAATTGGCATATATTATTGTATATTTGTAGATTTATGTATGTATGTATGTCTGTATAATGTATATGACGTATGTTGATATGGATTCTAAAAAATAATATGTTCTCAAAAAAATTTGGGGTACATGGAAAGCTTAACAACGCCGAAAATTGCTTCATGAAGCCTAAAACCTGGGATTTAAGGGAACTGTAAGCGTAATTTCAAGTGACCCTCCATTTAAAGATAGCAATGCCAGATTTACAACGGTACCCCTGAAACCTTAAATTAATCAAAATTGTAAAATATACCGTCCTTTCTTTTTGCCTCAAAATGAAATTAATTCTGACAACTTCTCCATTGCTTCTTAAAAGCAACAAATGTGCAAGTCACTTGTCGAGAAACCTCAAAGGATAAACAAGAAAGCTTTTAAGGGTACCGTTGTAAATCGATCACTGCAACCTTTAAATGGAAAGTCACTAGAAATTATGCTTACAGTACCTTTCACTCACTGAACGCTTCGGAAAATAGAATTAAATTAGTCTGCTCGCTTGTTCCCTATTCCTGGTTCTGATTCTCAGTTCTGTGGCAGGTTCTCAATAGGAGTTGTAAACTTGAAATCTGCAGGGAACAGATCCTTCGCCCTGGGCAACATCAACTTGTAGGATTGTCGGATTGTTACATCAGCAACTCCTAAACAATATATCTACATCAGGAGAGAAAAAGTACAACATTTTTTAGTGTAAATCCGATGAATTTTCTCTGCAAAAAAAATTATCTGTATTTTATGTCTCTCCAAAAAATCATTATAACTTTAAAAAAAGAGTGAAATAACCTAGGAAGGGGTTAGAAGAAAAAATAGAATATTTTCAAATTTGTGGTTTTATTGATTTATATTTAAACCTGCAATATCGGCAATCTCTCGCTGTGTTCTCTTGTCCTCGCTCGCCTGACTCGCCATATATATTGCAGCAGCGGCTACACTGATCGGCGATCGGCCTGGGACAATGTCGAGATCTACAGCCTTTTTAGCAATATGTGTCGCTGCTTTCTGTACGTCACGAGGAAGACTAAGAGTTCCGCAGAATCTGGACATGAAGTCACCAGTAGTGATTAGTTCAACACTTGTATCATGAGCCTTCAAAATCAATTTGAAGCAGCGACCTGGAATATGTTATGGAATTTGTAGAATGAAAATCAGATTTATTATATTAAACTACTAAAACCATTATCAACCCAAATTACAAACATGAATTTCAAAATTATTTTTTTTTCTTGGGGCGGGGTTGAAAATATGATATCAACAGGAACGTTTATTCTCGTTATAGATTTTCCCCACAAGTATATTCTTTTTATTAAAGAGACTGTTGACCCTAGGCGGTACCCTTAATAGTTGTGCCTGGTCATCGACGACAGAGCTTATAAAACAGCTTGTAAACAAGTTTTCGTAAAACTACAAGCATTTCTGTAGATAATTCCGTCACCATTGATCAAACAAAAGTTTAAAGGGTACTGCTCTGAATCGGACACGCAACTATATAAAAATGGAATGTCACTTGAAATTACGCCTACACTCTACCGAGCCAACACAGTCCCTTTAATATCTTCAATTTTTTAAAACAGAGAAATTAATTTCTGTCTTTTTAGTTTATATCTATCTACTCCCCCATCAACAGAGGATAGGCCAATAACAAAAAATGGGAGGAAAAAACTGAACATGAACTCAAAAGAAACTATCAAGAATAAACATAAATTGTCTTAAAACAGAATATATCCTCCAAAAAACAACAAAAAACTATTTTTACCTATTTCCTTCTTACTCACTGTGCTGACCGCGACAATCTCCTTGAAGGTTCTCGGCACTCCTTCCTGCCGGCAGGAAATGTACAGACACGCAGCAGCAATAGCATCATTAGACCGCCCCTTCAGATTCTTCCCGTCATGCACCATCTTAAACAGATTGTTGGCTCGGTCCACTATAGTTTTAGTCAGGTTTATTCTGTCCGCCATGTTGGAAATAGTTCTGCAGAATTAAAATACTTAATTAATTTATATTGGAGTTAGGAACATTAAGATTAAGAAGTTTGTGAAAAAGAGAATATAAATAATAAGAAGGGGACAGGAGGAGGTAAAAAAAAAGATAGAAAACATTTTTTATTTCGTCACCAAAACTTAAAAAATACAACTTCTTGATAAAAATTAAAAATAATATTTGATAGTCATCTAAAAATATTTAATTATTTAACTTCGAAAGAAATAAATAAGGTGGACGAGGGCAAAGGATGAAAAAATCATAAAAAAAGAAGAAAATGGAGGGAAGAATAAAATAGGATAAGGAGATCTGAGTAAGAAAGAAAAGACTAAAACGAATGAAAATGTCGTTGCTTTTGACTATTTAAAGATGAGTTAAAGTATCTATTTCCCTAAATGCGTTGATGAGTGTTCTATCGGAGCTGCTCTGTGTTTTCCTATTGTTATAAAGAGCTGTTCCATCTGATGTAAAGGATGCTCCCCCACGACCAGGACCTAAAGAAGCAGCATTGTAATTATCTTTAATAACAAATCAACTTAAATGGTGATTTGTTTTTGTGATTCTTGAGAATTCCTTCTGAACCTATCTCCTATACAGAGTTTATCCGGTAAACCCCCAAAAAGTTAAAACCTTTTCCTTCTTCCAGAAAAAAAACTGTTTCTTATCAATATATGTACAATGTACCATGTTCATGGCAATAATCAAATAAAGCATAAAAAGATATTTTTTAAATAGACGATTTTTTATGCAGCCCAGATACGTCTCAGTTAAATATCATGAAACCTATTCACCACATTAGACTTACCAATCATTGTGGTTAGATCACTGCTACCCAGAAGAGTATTCTCCGGTCCACCAACCCTAGACCTATCCTCTCCTCCCTTCTCATTAGAGAACGTTCTCCATTCGGAACCAACATCGATCACTCTAAAGTCAATCAATTAATCAATTTTGGCCTGTCTCTCTAAAATCCAAGCAAAATTTCATTCATTATCTATAAATTAATCTATATCCCGTCTCATTCGCAAGTTCTAGTTATTAACACAATTTATCCACATCACTTCTCTTCACCCTTCAAAATAAGCTTAAATTTGATTCTGCACAATCTGTATCTATCTATCAATCTGTTCATCAATCAATCAACTGAACGATCAATTAACCAACCTATTTTGAACGATCTCCCCTTTGAAACAAGCACAGTTACATTTACTTTATATCATCAACCTACAATCGATTATAGCTTCCTTTGATGATGATTTAAATATTATTTATGGTTAGACGTTGATAGTCTTCAGAAATGGTTTATAAGATAAAATCAATGACGCCATTATAAACATAGAAACAAAATCATGCAAAAATATGTAATGAATATTAAATGAAATTTCTTCAGGAGTTTTATAACTGTAACAGAGTCGGAGTAATAAAATACCTGTCCTTCACAACAATGGAGCAGTCGGAAAAAAATGTACCTTTCGGTCAAGTCTAAACCGCGGTGCAACTACTTGTTTACCTGTCTCCACAACTATACAGCAGTCGGAACAAGTAATTTACCTGTCTCCCAGAACTAAACCGCAGTCAGAACTAGTAATTTACCTGTCTCCCACAACTATACCGCAGTGGGAACTAGTACTTTACCTTCTCCCACAACTATACCCCAGACGGAATTAGTAATTTACCTGTCTCCCACAACTATACCGCTGTCAGAACTAGTACTTTACCTGTCTCCCACAACTATACCCCAGTGGGAACTAGTACTTTACCTTCTCCCACAACTATACCGCAGTCGGAACTACTAATATACCTGTCTCCCACAACTATACCGCAGTCGGAACAAATTGTATCCCCCGCCCTGTAATCCTCGATAAGAGGAGCATCAGGATGGTATTTACAAGTAACTTTACTGGACATTTATAATCTGAAATTTAATTGAAATGATGCGAGTTTATTCTACCATTAAAACAAGGATTCTATAATTTTTTTAAAGATGAAAAGTACAAACAATTATTGATATTCTATCCTCAAATAAGTTATAATTTAAATACTATGCATGAAAAACGATACCATGATGATCACAGATAAAACATAAATATAAGAAGAAAATTACTAAGAAGAACTGAATTACTGTTCACAAGTTCTAAGAGGATTTCTATCAATTAGTGAAGAAATGTTCCTAATTCGTCGATCGGAAGAAAAAAAGTTAAGATGAACAACATGCCGTAAGAAGATATTTAAGCGCAGAACAGGTTAAAGTTTTATAAATCTGAAGGAGGAATGTAAATTGAACATTTAATAAATTAATTAAACTATTACAAACACAATATATTGACATTTATCGATAACTTTCTATCAAAAAGTCCAAAAGTATGATATTAAAGAAAAATGCGCTCCAAGTTCAAATTTGTGAACAGTTTTTACGTTAAATATTCATTCTAACGAATTATACATTGTCAGCTGCTTCAGAACTTTGGTCTGACTGGTTTCCCTCATCTCCCCGGCCAGAAACATCTCGTCGACGACAGTGTAGACCTTGTAGAAGTTGAAGACGAGGTCGAGCTCACACACGTTGTGGAAGTACTCGTTGAGGACCTCGACAAAGTTGTGTATGGCCTCGAGGTAGAAAAGGTTGTTGTCGCTTACATCAACACAGATACAGAAATACAGACCTGAAAGTAAAATGAAAACTTAAAATCCAATGTATGTAAAAACTATAGTCTTCAATTTTAAAGATTAATATTGATATGTTAAAGATAAATCATTTCATTATCCATGTTTCTACATTTTAGAAAATTTAAAAACTGTATTTGGCCTTTAGTCCCCTGCTCCCTCCTGGAATAATACAAAATACGTCATATTCTTTAACCATAATTTTTTTATGAAGGAAGGGGGATGGGGGCCAAATTCTTTTTACAGGATTGAGCTATATGAATTCCTTGTTTAGCGTACCCTTCTTTATACCTGCGTATCTTCGGTAGATGATTTTAAAGTTTCTAAACTCCACAAAGTTTGTGTGCTTCTGATCACGCACGGTGACAACGGCGTGCACCTCCTCGATCAGCTTCTGCTTCTCCTCGTCGTCAAAGTTCATGTACCACTTGGCCAACCTGGTCTTCCCGGCCCTGTTCTGTATCATCACAAACCGGATCATTATAAATAATTTTTTCTTTGGGACAATGAAATAAATTCTGAAATTTGATAAAAAATTAATTTCTCATAGTCTCTGCTGTTGATACGAAGGGATCAATTTAATATTGAGACCTGCTATGGCTCTAGTTTTGTGCTAAAACCACCCCTATCCAGAAAAGTGCTAACTTGACCCTTGAGTAACAATCTGTGAGTCAGTCCAAAAATTAATTAATTAAAGAAAATAAGATCTCAGTAAATCAGCACTAAAGTATCAAGTGCACGATGTATACACCATCTTGGATCAAAATAATTTCGTTAAGAATGATTACGCTATTATAATATACGTAAAACAAGGTTAAATCATAAATACAATGTTCACATTAAGTGTTATCGATACTAAATTATCTGAATTGATTATTGAACGTATTGGATCATTTCAATCCTTATATAATATCGTAATTAGTATTTCAACATGCCAGTTTCTCATCAAAAAGGGTAATCCAGGGGTGTATTCAGTAATTTTTCCTGAGGTGGCTTAATGTTTTTGGCCAAGAAACCCTGAAAATCAACGATTTCACTGATAACATGGATCTCATTTGTAACACATGGATACAATTGGTCATGTGGTCGCAGCACTCGGCCCCCTACAGAATGGCCAGAATGTACGGATTGTACGGATTATTTTTTTACTCATATCAGTAAATTTGCATGGAAAATTTCCAAAAAAAATCTTGTAAAAAATAAGTTGGTTTCACTTAATTGTTGTTTCAATAGACAATTAAAATTCTTTCATAGTTTTACAAGCACATTGATTTATGTTATATAATGAGTTTTCTAAAAAGCTTTAAACAAAAATTGTACGGATTGTAAGGATCATTTTTTAAATGTATGGATTATACGGATTTAAAAAATATTATTACGGATTGTATGGATTTAACCCCAAAATATGTACGGATTGTACGGATTTTTTTTTAAAGTTTTGACCACCCTGACCCTAGCCACATCGCTCGGCCCAGAAAGTGTCTTTAAAATATTTTGTATCAACTACACCATAGCACAGAAAAAACTCCTGTCAATTAAACTAAACTAGTTCCTCACGCGGCAAAACAGAGAGAGACTAAGAGAGACAGAGAGAGAGATTTGGTTTGGTTAACAGATACAGAGTTAACCAGGAAGGACCAGATTTTAATGACGACCTGAAATTCCGACAGGTAGAAATAAAAATGTAAAAAAAATACTGTTGGAAGAATTGTGCATGATGGGGAGGAAATTAAAAAAATTTTAAAAACAAATTCTTTGTTTAAAGGTATTCGAGAATTTATATACATATAACTAATAAATAAGGGAAGTACGGGAGCATTTGTGTGGGGGTCACTTTTGTGCCCCCCCCCCTCGGCGACATTGTGCCACCCCCGTAAAAACCCTTTTCTTGAAAAAATATTGATACCATTTCTAACTATAATGTAAACTATTCGATCATATACACACTTCCAATCAAGTGTTAATAAATTATTTATGTAATAATTTCTTAATTGGACTCATCTTCATATGTAAGCTTCAATGGGTGAAACACAGAGATGGAAACGTATTGACTAAAGCTTTTTTTAATAAAACTTTTTGATGTAAGGCCCCCCCCCCCCCTCCGTACGCCCCTGTTTAAATACTCGAAGTTTTTAACATGAACGACCTTAACGTTAACTAGTATATATTATATATAATTCAGTTCTAAGTCAGAAACCTCAGTATAATCCATCCCTTAAGTTATCTCAGCTCTAGACAGAAACCTGATTATATTCCATCCCAAGTTATCTCAGCTCTAGACAGAAACCTGATTATATTCCATCCCAAGTTATCTCGGCTCTAGGCAGAAACCTGAGTATATTCCATCCCAAGTTATTTCAGCTCTAGACTGAAACCTGAGTATAATCCATCCCAAGTTATCTCAGCTCTAGGCAGAAACCTGAGTATAATCCATCCCAAGTTATCTCAGCTCTAGACAGAAACCTGAGTATAATCCATTTCAAGTTATCTCAGCTCTTGGCAGAAACCTGAGTATATTCCATCCCAAGTTATCTCAGCTCTATGCAGAAAACTGAGTATATTCCATCCCTTAAGTTATCTCAGCTATAGACAGAAACCTGAGTATAATCTATCCCAAGTTATCTCAGCTCTAGACAGAAACGTGAGTATAATCCATCCCAAGTTATCTCAGCTCTAGACAGAAACCTGAGTATATTCCATCCCAAGTTATCTCAGCTCTAGGCAGAAACCTGAGTATATTCCATCCCAAGTTATCTCAGCTCTAGGCAGAAAACTGAGTATATTCCATCCCTTAAGTTATCTCAGCTCTATTGACAGAAACCTGAGTATAATCCATTCAAAGTTATCTCAGCTCTATTGACAGAAACCTGAGTATATTCCATCTCAAGTTATCTCAGCTCTATTGACAGAAACCTGAGTATAATCCATTCAAAGTTATCTCAGCTCTATAGACAGAAACCTGAGTATATTCCATCCCAAGTTATCTCAGCTCTAGACAGAAACCTGAGTATATTCCATCTCAAGTTATCTCAGCTCTAGGCAGAGACCTTAGTATAATCCATCCCATGTTATCTCAGCTTTATAGACAGAAACCTGAGTATAATCCATCCCAAGTTATCTCAGATCTAGACAGAAACATGAGTATAATCCATTCCAAGTTATCTCAGCTCTAGACAGAGACCTGAGTATAATCCATCCCAAGTTATCTCAGCTCTAGTCTAGACAGAAACATGAGTATAATCCATCCCAAGTTATCTCAGCTCTAGACAGAAACCTGAGTATATTCCATCCCAAGTTATCTCAACTCTGGTCCAAAATCTGAGTATATATTCCATCCCAAGTTATATCAGCTCTAAGTAGTATATATAATATATATGTATATAACTTGCAGGAACTCATTGACCGACTTGCCTCAAATGATCAAGGAACTATAGGAGAACTTGACGGGAATGTTCTGAGCTTGGTTTAGAAATTTAATGCAAAACTTAGTTTCCAGGGAAAGCTGGGTTTCTGCAGGCTTTGATACAAAGCTTACCAACAGCTACATAGTACATATGTCTCAGAAACTATCACCTTAAAGTAAACTCCGTATAAACAACAAAATTACTTTGCCGAAGACGACATTCCACAACCACTTGTAAACGTAATCATTACTAACCTTGGCTTTAGGCCTACATTATAACTTATATTTCCTACGCCCCGGTTACGCACCTTCCGCGTATTATTCAAGAACGCGTTCGAATATTACGCACAACGTTATGATCATTCAATTAAAATATCAAAAAAGTTAATTAAAATAAGTTTATAACTTTAATGCTTTTATAGGTTTAAAATTATCATATTTTCATGATTCCCATGAAATATATGAATATAAGACCCCTAGGGCATGTATTGTTGTGTTATGTGTGTGTGTGTGTGGTGTGCGTGTGTGCGCGTTGCATAATGTTCAGTAAGACTGGGGACCGTCTAGAGGTGCACACGAGCGCATCTGAGGAAATAAATCAATCAATAAAAAATGTATAACCCCATTATGATCTCAGGAACTGTTCCTTTTTATTTCCTAAATCCTCTCCTCCTGGCCCCCATCACCCCACCCCCTCCTGCCTAATATGCCCATTATGTCCATGGTATACTTATTCAATTCTATTATTCTACTGCATGCAAGGGGGGGGGGGTTTAGAAGTGAGCAGATTGTAGCGAGATTATACTTTATAATTCTATTAGAACATTCTGCAAGGCATAAACTCTACTATGGTGCATGCAAGGGGGGGGGGGTGTTAGAAGTGAGCAGATTGTAGCGAGATTATACTTTATAATATACTATGGTGCATATACAGCGCGATTCAGAAAACATAGGATTAAAGTGACGATATAAAATTTAGTGAGACATGAGTGAGAAGAATTTTCAATGACGGACGGTATCTCATCATGTAACGGTGTCTATAATCAAGGAAATATACATCATCAAAAGCACTACATATCATTACATATATATATATATTTCTTACATACATATTTCATGAGAATTTATTTCAATAAGTAAGAAGTAAATAACTATATTTTTGTTTGTTCAAAATCTCCACAATTTTCAATTTGCGTGCAGCATCTGAATTGAAAAAGTTAAATTTTATCATTAAGTAAAATTCTTAAAAACCTTTCTTTTAAAGAGAACTGTGATTTAATTTATTACAAATGTTGTTTTGAAGCAATTTGTTTCGGTTTCCCCCATTTTTTAATATTCATTTTATTTAGAAAGTTAAAAACAAAGAAAAATATCTAATGTCTAATGGAATGAAGCCTTTCCAACAAAATAAAGCTTTCGAATCCCTATACTTATTCTACTTGATGGTGTAAATCTTTGATATTTCAAACTTAGAATAAATTTGATCTAACATAATTCATAGTTTGACATATTTAATGTATCATGGGTTGCAAAGATATAGGGATTATCTGAAGTTTGTGTCAAATACTCAATTCCTTTCAAAACAATAAAAACTTGTTCTTCTATTTATAAAGTTTGTATTGCAGTTACAGTATTGTTGGACAATCACATTGTATTCAGATTTAACAAATCTTAAATCCTTAATTGAAAAGTATTCGTTTATTTCTTAGACTGGTCTAAAAAGCATTGACGGTTGAAACAGATAAAGAAAAAGATACGATTCAATTTTATTGAATTTCATTTCATGTTTTATCCATGCTAAAAATCACGTATCTATGGTGGTAGGCGATTGTAACAATATAATGAAGACGACATTTTTAATTGTTAACAAGCTTTTTTTGAATTACAAGTTTATACGTAATTAAAGAGAACATTTTTAATTGACAGCTTTTCTTTGTTTACATTTTTATGTGTATCCATGCTGTTTAAAAGCTCGATATGAATCAAAATTGAAATCAAAAGTCGTCTTCATTATATTAATATAATCGCCTACCACCGTGTAAAAAGATGGATTAATATAAACAATTAAATTGTGTTTAAAAACAATACTAGAATATATCTCTATTAACACTTATTCCTAAATCTGAGCAGAGTAACATCCCGTCAAATTAAAGTTAATTTTTTTCTGTTTTCAATCGTATTCGTAACTTCTCTTGTTGAAGAGATATCGAGAAGAAGAAAAATGTTCTGAATTTCTAATTTTTAACCAAACGAAGGAATTGAGTTCTTGCTGCAAACTCTGATTTTCTAATTCCTATATCTTTGATTCTAGAAGTCGTAGACCTTTGATATTTTAAACTTTAACTTCTGTTAGATCAAAAATTTTGAAATATATAATGTCTACACCATCAGGTTGCGATATAGGGATTGGAAATTTTGAGTTTGTGACAAAAAACTCTATTCCTTTGTATTTCTCATATTTTTGTCTATTATAGTCTAAAGTAAAATTACTGATATCATTACCCACAAAGAAGAGAGTCCTATTTTTGTTGAGTAACCCTGTATATTAAAACAAGCAAATTCTATTTAAATCAAGGGTTGCCAGTATATTTGGACACCCTATAAACAGATTACATTTTGCACATCATTCCACCATTTATAGACAGATATAAACACCACGGAAATGATTTAATGATGCACATCAAGACATTTTTCAATTTATATTGTAAATATATTTATAAGATGTATTCAGTATTCACTGCACTTAGCTAAAAATGGTCCGATCCACGTCAAACTAAAGTAAATAACTAAAATATTTTTAATTTAATACTTGTGTATACAATATACATCAGAAGAACTAAGAGTAAGCTCACAAAGTCGTACTAGTAATGTCACATACAGTAGACCTACTCTTTCGGTCACAATTCGAGAACTGTAAATATTTGGATACTTTAAAAACTCTTTTATTGACCCCCCTCCCCTCCCCCCTCCTGCTCCTTAGAATTAAAAAGTAAAAATTTGCTATCTTCCAAATTATTCCAAATGTGAATGTTTAATTGATTGATTGATTGTGTAAAGTATCCCCACGCCACGAGATACCTTGTAGTGCGAAAATATTCGCAAGTACAGGTGTTACTAACGGTGCCGCGGATATTCGCTAATCCCGAGTGCGCAAATAATCGTTCATTTACTAAGCAAGGAAAACATATCATCTTAAACTATCAAAACTTAACATTCTTATTTTTTAATCTGATTTATTCAGTTTTGAAAACTCCTTTTATTTTAGCAATGTTTTAAACTAAAAAATAGAATTTGATTATGAAAAAGTTTTGTATGAATTAAAATAAACTTTGAAAAGTGCGAATGAAGAGACCACAATTCATGTGTCGAGAATTTCAAAGATATTTGAGAATTAGTAAAAAAAGAGTTAATATTAAAAGATAAATGATATGTTTAAAGAGAGTGAATACTGAATAACCCCAAGATGAGTAATTTTCTATTTGATTCTGAGACTAATGTTGTTCCCAGGTCAACACAGTTACCAACTCAACCTATAGATGCTATATTCGAGGGAACACAGGTATACACCATACAGTGGTAACCAGTAAATAGTGGAATGTTCTGGGAACAGATTCGATTAATTTTAATATGACTATATAGATACTGAAACAATAAGTCAGAATCTTTGTTTTGTAAGTCTCAGGATTAAGCATGTGATCTCCCTCGCATTGAAATCTACGGATTAATTCGATTCCTCTTAGATATCCCGTGGTGTGGTGAAAGCTAAATAGGACTGAAGGGACTGGGCTTTTATCCTAAAATTGAAAGAGATTACGTGTTAAAAATTAACGATACTTTGACACAAAATTTCCGGCCTTTTGGCTTACAGAGTGGCACAAACGTGATAAGTTTTTTTCAAGCATCAAAACAAGATATGAATCTGGAAAAATTAACTCAGAATGAAGTTATTCTTAAAACAAACGGACCCAGAAAAAAAGTTCTTTTAAAATTGTTTTAATAAAATTTTGAGGCCTCTTAACCCGATACTGGGGACCTGAGCTAGTCAGTAAGTAAATACAATTTAGAAATAAAAAATAAAACATAGAAAATATCCATGTTATTATTTTTTCCCTTAAAAGCCAGGAAATACAAACCATCCTATTTTTAAACGGTTTTTAGAATATACTGTGAGTAAACCTCGGGTGTGGCTAATTATTCAAGTGGCATTTCCATATTTCAAGTCTATTGGTTCATCGGGCAAATTCGGGGGTTTAACCTTTTAAACACAGGGAAGAGAGTTAGGGCCATATTCCACGTAATTTGAATAAAAAATTATGCATAATCTGAATGAAAACTATGTAATATTTTTCATATTTTATTTAAGTTCCCATAAATTCACAAACTTATTAAATATTAGATAGAACTTCATATTTACTAAACCAGTTACACAGTAATGTAGCAAATATCGGGTTACACGATATTCTGTAAACCTACAGTACGTTGTATATTTTTAATAATGTTTGTAAACATAAAAGTTAAACCATTATTCATTAAAACTGCGTTTCAATTGACTACGTAGCAAGATTAGCTTAAATCATGATAAATATATAATGACGTACATCTTAATTGCGCCGATTTTAACTGTGCTGTAATACGTAACATGATTGTCTTAATCATAGCTAGATAACGACTTAGGAATTGTAACTACGCCTATCAACTATAAACTTATAAAACTGAAATACAATAGTTGATATAGTAACTCCGTTTTTTTTTTCTGCGTGAGGGTAATTGTCCCCTGTTTTGATAAACAGGTTGAGGATCGTATCCTAGCTGAGGCATTAATAGTCCACGCCAAAGTAGGTTGTGAAGATCGAGTCCTAGTTGAGACATTGATAGTTCAAGATCGTGTCCTAGTTGAGGCATTAACAGTTTACGAGATTGTGTCCTAGTTGAGACATTGATACTTTACGAGATCATGTCCTAGTTGAGACATTGATAGTTTACGAGATTGTGTCCTAGTTGAGGCATATTGATAGCTCAAGATCGTGTCCTATTTGAAATATTGATAGTTTACGAGATTGTGTCCTAGTTGAGGCATTGATAGCTCAAGATCGTGTCCTAGTTGAGACATTGATAGTTTACAAGATCGTGTCCTAGTTGAGGCATTGATAGCTCCAGATCGTGTCCTAGTTGAGACATTGATAGTGTACAAGATCGCGCCCATTGATAGTGGCGTTGATAGATGAGGGGTCATGTCCTGGTTGACATTGATAGTTGTCCAGATTGTATCCGGGTTTAGACATTGGTATATAAGTGAAACTAGATTGTACCTGGATAGATCCGGGTTAGGGAAGCCATTCTGGAGTAGGGTATTTACTACAATAACACATATTTCTAAATGTAAAGGAACTGAAACTCGAATTTTATAATCCCTATATCTTTGTATGCTGATGGTGTAAAACTTTGACTTTGTTTTCAGTAGCATTCATAGTATGAAACATCATAGGTCTACAATACCAGGTTGCATAGGTATACGGATTAGAAGAAAAAAATTAAAATTAAAATGTTGATTTCTGTTGTCCGTTTAGGCGTTTTGGTCGTAAAATACCAGCATTGGGAAAATATACAACCTAATTAAATGATTTACCAAAAGAAAATGGTCACAAATTGGATGAGATACTTCGCAGTCACCATTTCTCAGAGAAATAGGGTGTGAGGAAAGTCTTTTTGAAATTATATAATATTTACAAAAAAAAATATTATATAATATGTACAAAACATGTGTATAAAGTATGAATTGTATATGTATATCATATAAATGTATATTTACAAGTATATACAAATAAAGATCTACACAGAAATAATTGTTTATTGATCATTAAACAAATATAAAAGAATTGAAAAAACAAAGAGCTATATGAATGTTCCATATCTTTTATTCGTGTAATGTAATGACTTTCTTTCTGTTCAGAACCATGAAAGAAAAATCTAGTCTACAAATCTTGATAATAATAATTATAACTAGCGGAAGGGCCCAGCGCTGCCCGTGAAACAAAAAATTTGGGGAAAAAAATGAATAATAATAATAATAATAATAATTATAATAATAATAATAATTATAATAATAATAATATTATCTAAGGCCCCTGAAGAGGATAAATGGAGAAATATACTGCTCCCCCCTGGAGCTGATGGAGCTACAGGGTTGAGTAAGGATGCTATGCCTCTGGACCTTGGAACCTTGCTCAAGGTTCTGGATGAACACAACAAGGACGGAGAGGTTAGTTTTCTCCTTTTTAAGAATACATTTTGAAAGATAAAATGAATATATATTTCATATTTTTCTCCAACAACACTACCATCAAACAAAAGGAACTGATTAATTGCCGAAATCCTTATACTTTTGCAACCTGATGTTGAAGACCTTTCTTTGATATTACAAACTATGAATTCTCCTAGATTAAATATATAATAAAAGGTTGAAATATCAAAGATTAGCCATCAGGCTGCAAAGTATTAGAGATAATAAAATTAGAGTTTGTGGCGAGCAATCAGTTCCTTTATTGCTAAAATGGTTGTTTAACTAAGCTGTAGTTTGTTAAAGAGATTTGTAATCCTTAAATCTGATGTCGGAGTTAATTATACATGTGTATAGATTTATTCTCAAGCTAAATAATGCAACTTGTTAAGTGAATAAAATACTGATTTTTCTGTTTAATTCCTTCAATTCTAAAATATTATAAAACTAGGCTTTTAGGTCGCTTCGCGCACATCTTCTTTTTCAATTTGTTTACATTTCCCCTTAATTTGTATATATTGTAAAACAAAAACAAAAAAGAGTTTGCGAATTTCATAAAAAATGTCATGGATTTTTTAAATTCAATGAATATCGAATTTGCATGGAGGCAAATTTTTAAAAAACTTAATCATCTATAAACCTTCCCTGAAGTCATTTGAGGTTCCACAAAAATTTGGGTCCGATCTGCTCAGCCGTTTTGACGTTTATTGGACAAACAAACAAACAGACAGACACCCAGACAAGCAAAGTATATATATATAGATATCGACAAATTTTTCAATTCATAAACCTTCTCTGAGAACATGTGTTTGCCATACAAAATTTTAGCCCTATCCGTTTAGCCGCATCGACGTTTTTAAATACAGAAACACAGACAGACAAAAAATCAAACTGTGCGATGTTTTTGTAGGGAGAATGTTAAATTATCTGTCCTCCACAGTCCATATATCCCAAAAATGTAACGGAGCTACCTGACCATTATTGAGATCTGTCAAACTCTATTTACATTGGATAGAAATAGAAACAAATTATTAATAAGCAGTGGTATATAATTTGAGAAAAATAACTTTTGATAATCTGAGGGGAAATTATAAAATTGAACATAAAAAAACAAGTTTTTTTATCCTTTTTGACATTTTCTATCCAAAGTTTTAATTGTGTTTCATCCTTAAAATCATTTATTTTCCCTAATTTAGGGAATCCACGAAAAACATTTCCCGCGCAAACAAACTGAACTTCTGGGGGGAAAAAAAGATTATCAAAAGGGGGGAGGGGATAATTTTTCAAGTAAATAATATACAACCCTGAAATATTTTAATTCTTTGAATCTACCTTCTCAGTAAATTATACCTCAGTTCCCTGTTTATATTCGTCTTATTAAATTCTCATACTTAAAGTTTAGATTACTCAAAACCAGCTTAGAGCTAGATATCTGCCCTAATGGGTGTTATTAAACCACTCCCTGGTCCCCCCTCCCTCATACTCCCCCCCCCTTCCACTAAATTCAATACCGTTAATTCTCAAACGCTATTGTCTATGGCTATTTCTCAAAATTATTTTATCTTGAGTGATTTTTATAAACTCTCCTCTGATTTAAATACAACCATTCTTCAGAGATATTAAAGATATCTAGAGGAAGTTTGGGATGTATTGCATGATACAAGAACAAACAACGGATCAGAATCTCATGGCGATCTGAGAATCTTTGAATACATCGATATTTCTGTAATATTTTATTACTGGGAACCCAGCTTTGCCTAGAAACGAAGTTTTCCGTTATAAAAGCTAAGCTTAAGAGACACATGACAGCTGAAGGGCCCGGCGTTGCCCGTGAAAAAAATTTGAAAAAATACTTTTGAAAAAAAAATATTTTGAAAAAAATATTCCGAATTTTTTTAAGCCTATAAGACCCCCCGACAACCCATGAATGTCCACAACAAATTTCAGCCCAATGGGTGTAGCCGTTTGGCCAGCTATAGACAACATATATATACAAATTTCTTGTTTTATTATAAAGATATACTATACGGATCTAAGAATTATATTTACATACAATTGATATAAACTTCCATACTAGATCACAGAATCAATTCATTCAATCAGACTCAGATTATTAGGTATTTACTTGTAACTTTGTTAAACTTATATCCTCTCTGTCTACCCCTATCAAGTTCAATAATCAATTCGTATTTGTTGTCAACTTCTCGTATTTGGCTTGGCACCGTACATTGACCTTAAACCTGAATATTGTGGAACAGGTTTATATTATAAGTATACAATACATCCTTATATATTTTTATATCAAATAATAAGATTTTATGTTTAAAAGAGATGAAACCTCGATATCATAGATAATTCCAATGGTTGCAGTTGGTTACCCTCTCCCCTCTATATAACTGTCTAACCCCCTCCCCCCACCTTTGTACTTTACTACTAATTCTCTAAACTATTTTATAATATTTAATCGCCCCGAGGTAGTTAGGACCGTAACTCTATTTATCCAATACGGTCCTTCTCTTTTCAGAGCTTCGTACTTTTTATACGTTAAACACTGTGTATGAATGAAATCCCCGTATGACAAGAGATCATTGTATGAAACCCCCTGTACGTCTAGAAACCATGTTTCCCCCCCCCCCCTGTATATCTAGAAACCATGTTTATAACCCTACTGTATGAATAAAAACCATATTTATTTTTGAACCTTTCTGTATTTCTAGAAACCATGTTTTATGAACCCTCCTGTATATGAAGAAACAGTGTTTAAAAACCCCCTGTATATGTATAAAACATGTTTTTTATGAACCCTTCTGCATATCTAGAAACCATATTTTATAAAAAAAACCTGTATATCTAAATACCATGTTTCTGAACCCCCTGTACGACTTAACCATATTTATTTCTGAACTCCCCTGTATATCTAGAAACAATGTTTATTCACCAGTCTGCATGTCTAGAAGCCATGTTTTATAAAAAAAAAACCTGTATATCTAGAAGACATGTTTCTGAACCCCCTATACGACTATTAACCATATTTATTTCTGAAGTTCCCTTTATATATAGAATCCATGTTTTATGAACCCCCCTGTATTTCTAGAAGCCTGCTGACTATTCAACCTGGCAGCTGGTTATGGTTCAAGGTTTGCTGCTCTCAGCTCTAGTAATAGTATCAGTTGGCTGGGCCTGCTGCTGTAAAAAAAGATGCTTCCAAGCAGCTCCAACCACAGTTCAGGAAGCTTTTAGGTCAGAGAAATCTTTTACTCATGAAGCTGATTAGTTATATTCATTCATTTCGTTTAGTTTTAGCTGTCTTTTGGCATATTTCAAACAAACTTTAAATTCAATATTAACAAATGATTGATAAGTCATTCATCTGAAAAAAAAAAAATTAACGAGATTCATTTTTGTTTAGGAAGTTGTCGAACACCAGTACAAAATCTCGAGATTTCCCTCCTTCATACAGCCAGGCTGACCTTCATACACTAGCCATGTCAGTTCATGACTACCTCTACCCTCCACCTCAATATCCAGATCTACATAGGTAAGGTATACAATAAATGGATACCCTTCCACCCTCAATATCCAGACCTACATAGGTATACAATACATTGATACCCTCCCCCTCTCAATATCCAGACCTACATAGGTATACAATACATGGAGACTCTCCCCCCTCTCAATATCCAGATCTACATAGGTATACAATACATGGATACCCTCCCACCCTCAATATCCAGACCTACATAGGTATACTATACATGGATACCCTCCCCCCTCTCAATATCCAGATCTACATAGGTATACAATACATGGATACCCTTCCACCCTCAATATCCAGACCTACATAGGTATACTATACATGGATACCCTCCCCCCTCTCAATATTCAGACCTACATAGGTATACTATACATGGATACCCTCCCCCTCTCAATATCCAGATCTACATAGGTATACTATACATGGATACCCTCCCCCTCTCAATATCCAGACCTAGATAGGTATACTATACATGGATACCATCCCCCTCTCAATATCCAGATCTACATAGGTATACAATACATGGATACTTTCCCCCTCTCAATATCCAGATCTACATAGGTATACAATACATGGATACCCTCCCCCTCTCAATATCCAGACCTACATAGGTATACAATACATGGATACCCTCCCCCTCTCAATATCCAGATCTACATAGGTATACAATACATGGATACCCTTCCACCCTCAATATCCAGACCTACATAGGTATACAATACATGGATACCCTCCCCCTCTCAATATCCAGACCTACATAGGTATACTATACATGGATACCATCCCCCTCTCGATACCCAGACCTACATAGGTATTGGATATTGAAAAATCCCTTACCCCTTATTTATCCAGGTATATCTATGACATATACAATTCTTGGTCTATGGATACCTTACTCATTTATTATACATGGTTTACAATATATGGTCTATATATATAGACATTGGATACTATTCCCATATAGTATTCACCCACATAAGAACTTATATTGTTATATTATTATTAAAAGGACTGTAAGCGTAACTTCAAGGTCCCTCGAATGCAAAGATGCCGCAATGCACGATACAGATCAGTATCCTGCTTTGGCTTGTCAGATTCGTCAGATCAGATATATCAATGTTTATAATTATGATAACTGATTATTTTCAATTTTGGGTTCTCGACAAAAGTAACTTGGGCAATTCTAATGCAGGCAAAAATACAGGGATTGTTAGAAGGTAACAGTTTTCCACCTAGAAAACGACAATATCTTCCACTTGATCAAATAATGGTTTCAAGGGTATAATAGTTGTGAATCGGGCGTTGACATCTTTGCATGGAAGGTCACTTGAAATTACACAAGTAACATTATAAGTCTGTTTCCCTGAAGAATAATATAGAATCTAATACATGAAGTAATGCAACAATAAAAGTCAAGTTTCGTGAAGGAAACTGATTTATTGCCATACAGGGTCAACCATAAGGGAAGAGACTGTGGGGAAGACCGCTCAGAATTCACTAAATTTTTTATATTCATGGTTTCCGGCAGCTCTAAGCTTGTTTCTTTTCTTTGCAAAAGCATTTTATGTAATTTTATATTTTATTTTTATCTTTATTTTAATTCTATTTATGGCGAAATACAAAATTTAATCTTCATATATGTTTAAATTTTTGTTTACGTCTTAACCTTTGTTGGTAACATTGTATACTCTACTAAATTAAATAAATTGAGATTTATATATAATGTATATAGGTTAAAGTAAAAATGATCCAATTAACCAGTTTTGCTAAACTATAAATAATTATCAAGTAAACTCTTCAAGCCATGCATTTATACATTTAATGTAAAAGACATTTAAAAAGAAATGAAGAAGACAAAAAAATTATAATTTAACAATTTTCCTTAGGTTCATACTGGTAGCACAATTTTCCTTGGGTTTATCCTGGTAGCATAATTTTCCTTGGGTTAATCCTGGTAGCACAATTTTCCTTGGGTTCATCCTAGTAGCACAATTTTCCTTGGGTTAACCCTGGTAGCACAATTTTTAAGACGAATCAAACTACAGTGTGCTCTAATAAAACATTGAAATTAGGAGAAGACTTTAATTTCTTTTTTCAAAAGTTAAAATTTTTTCAAATAACCTAAAATCAAAAAATAAAATTTTAGTAGGAAAGGTTCAGGTGACCTTGATTACTTGGATCTTGAAGCCGGTCACACCAGGCTGGCCAGGCTCAGCTTCAGCGGCCAATCTCCACAGGTAGAATATTCAAACAATGACCAAAATAAAGTTAAGCTCTGGGTGCCCCTCCAGCTTGTAAATAACCCGGTATTTTACAAGTACTGGAATGATCAATCTTTATGGTTGGAAGTTTCATCTCAAATAAAAATTTGGAAATTGATCAAAACTGATTTATGGAACTGTGTCTTTGCCACAAACTTGAATTTTTTAAACCCTATATCGTTGCAACCTGATGGTGTAAACCTTGATATTTCAAACCAAGATTATTTGATCTAGCAGAAATAGTTTGAAATAACTAAGGTCTACGACGTTGGGTTGCAAAGAAATAGGGATGAGAAAATCAGAGTTTGTTGCAAAGACTGAATTCCTTTGCTCATTTTTTTTCTAGTATTCTAGGTCTTAATTAGGTTTTGAATATCACGGATTTTTTTTTCGACGTATATTCGTAACAATTAAAACATTTCCATCATCATTTAAGAAAAAACTAATTTCATTCTTATTTCTAATTTCATTCGAATTCAGAAATGTACAAATTATAGTATATATATATATATTATTTATATATGAATGATTTGTTTCATTTTCCTTAATTTTGCATATCTACCTAAAAGATAAGCAAAGCTATATGACTTTGATCTCAGGACAATTTAAGCATCAGGAAAAGATGTATCTTCAATCATAGTGATTCAAGAGATAGCTAAACATTTTGATTCAAGAGATAGCTAAGCATATTGATTCAAGAGATAGCTGAAACTATTGATTCAAGAGATAGCTAAACATATTGATTCAAGAGATAGCTAATCATACTGATTCAAGAGATAGCTCAACATATTGATTCAAGAGATAGCTCCACATATTGATTCAAGAGATAGCTAAACATATTGATTAGAGGGATAGCTGAACATATTGATTCAAGAGATAGCTAAACAAATTGATTAGAGGGATAGCTCAACATATTGATTCAAGAGATAGCTAAACATATTGATTCAAGAGATAGCTGAAACTATTGATTCAAGAGATAGCTAAACATATTGAGCTAAACATATTGATTCAAGAGATAGCTAAACATGTTGATTCAAGAGATAGCTAAACAAATTGATTCAAGAGATAGCTAACCATATTGATTCAACCAATTCTAGTTTTTCATCCTTATTTGATAAAACCTTTGTCAGATAGATTATTAGTGTAATGGATCAAGATAGGAAAAAATACAAAGTGTTTTACAGTAACTAATTGCTCTGTAATTAATATCAAGGTTTATATTCGTTCATATCAATATGAAAACAAGATAATGGAATCCCATGAAATGGGATTTGATCATATTATTTATTATTTATTTATCTATGGATTTGATTTGATTCGGACTGAGAATTTTTTTTCGTTATACTAGCAATATCTCTCTTTTAACTTTTATAAATCTACTTTCAAACTACTTGATTTTCATATTTAAGAAACTGTAGATAAAACTTCATGCGAATCCTCAGTTTTAGAGTCTTGTGTCCAATTCTCAAACAGTACCTTTGACTAATAAAGGATTACAGAGTTTTTTTTATCTATTTACAGAAACGCTTGTTATTATTGATAACTTTGTATCGAGGCTGATTTATGTTTTACAGATATTTTATTTACTTTTTGGGAGTCTCGAAATTAATGTTTTCATTCGAATTTTTAAAAACCGCGTTGAACATTTAATATTTGCGGTTCTTGAGACATTTTTTCTGATAAAAGTTTAGAGGTTCCGTTGTGAATCAGACATCAACTCTGAAATTAAACGTGATAAATCCATTGCCTGTATTAAAAAAAACTGAGAAAAAATTTCTGTTAAAAAACAAGAATTAATTACGATGAATTATTTTACTCAGCTCCTCGCCGGACTCCCCAGACTGTATGGACAGCGTTCCTCTGTATCTTCTTTATCTACAGATTCAAGGTAGGTTTAATACAGACCTGGAGATATACAGGTTCAAGGTAGGTTTAATACAGACCTGGAGATATACAGATTCAAGGAAGGTTTAATATAGACCTGGAGATATACAGATTCAAGGTAGGTTTGATATAGACCTGGAGATATACAGATTCAAGGAAGGTTTAGTATAGACCTAGAGATATACAGATTCAAAGTATGTTTAATACAGACCTGAGATGGAATTTAAAGAATTTGAGCCGCGGTTTAAATCTGCCAAAACCCGGTTTATGATATAGACCTGGAGATATACAGATTCAAGGAAGGTTTAGTATAGACCTAGAGATATACAGATTCAAAGTATGTTCAATACAGACCTGAGATGGAATTTAAAGAATTTTAGCAGCGGTTTAAATCTGCCAAAACCCGGTTTAAATTGAGCGCCGGCTTAAATATTGAAACATTTGATACAATTTCAAGTGGAACCAACCATATTTAAGCCGCGGCTTAAATTTAAACCGCCGCTCAAATTCTTTAAATTCGGCCACTGGTGATATACAGATTCACGGTAGGTTTAATACAGACCTGGAGATATACAGGTTCAAGGTAAGATAGTTTAGATCTGGAGATATACAGATTCAAGGTGGGTTTAATACAGACCTGGAGATATACAGATTCAAGGTAGGTTTAATACAGACCTGGAGATATATAGATTCAAGGTAAGATAGTTTAGATCTGGAGATATACAGATTCAAGGTGGGTTTAATACAGATATACAGATTCAAGGTAGGTTTAATACAGACCTGGAGATATATAGATTCAAGGTATGTTTAATATAGACCTAGAGATATACAGATTCAAGGTAGGTGTTATATAGAACTGGAAATACAGATTCAAGGTAGGTGTTATATAGAACTGGAAATACAGATTGAAGGTAGGTGTTATATAGAACTGGAAATACAGAGGTTCATTGTAGACACCTAGAGATATCCAGGAATACCGTGCACACACAAAAAGCAGGATTGAGCAGGAAATTTAAAGTGTCCACATCGGATGTTTAGATTAAGTCATCGGGATTAAGGGTATCCAATTCTTAAGTTCCCAGCTCATGCCACAAAATAGTAGATTCGGGTACTCGGCATTCAATTAGAGATATCCAAACCCAATCATGTTTGAACTAATTTGGCCATAGTATGCTCTTGGTGAAACCCCAAAGAAATCTGGATTCTTGGAAAGAATCTGGAGAGATTCAAGTACTTGGTTTAAAGATCACAAGATATTAATGTACTTGAAACAAATAAATGTATATGTACTTATCACTGCGATCCTAACAATTTATATGGGCTATAGTATAAATACAAACCTGAACAGGATAACTGGGAATCACTTTAGTTCTTGTTTTCAAAAATGTATTTTGACCAGTCAAGTTAAATTAAATCCTAGATCACATGTTTATATTGTTAAGAGAGAAACGCCCAAATAATTTGATATTTTTGATGAAACTATTTAATATTATGCGAAGAAGTCGATAAAATCGAAACCAGAAAGGGTCGGTAAACGTAGTTTCACATGAACCCCGCCCCCGATCATAGAGTTGCAGGCCAGATTTTTTACTCCTTCATTTAAGCAACAATTAAGATATCGACTTCACTCTTCCTCGAATAGAGAGCAGTTTTGCTAGTTTTCTTTCCATTTCTAGGCTGCATAAATCCATAAATCACTTTTATAGAGAAACCCCAAATAAAAATAATAAATTTTCAGATAGGAAATCCAGGATATTGATTTTGCTCCAACGAAGGTTTAAAGGATAACATTAAGAATGGAGAATGATGTTCTGAAAATAAATTTGTCACTTTAAATAACTTCAACACTCCCTCAAAGGAATGTTCCTAGTTTTAGTTTAAAACATGTCCATTAAAACATTTCCATTAAAACATGTCCATTAAAACATGTCCATTAAAACATGTCCATTAAAACATGTCCATTAAAACATGTCAATTAAAAGAAAAATGCCATCAATAATACTCGTCGTCTTTTAACAAAAATGCTCTTCTGATGGTTTAAAAATCAGTAAATAATTTTTCTAGAAAATTCGAAAACGAAGATTTCTCTTTTTATGAAAACAAAAGAGATCACAATTTGGGATCCGAATTTAGAAATCTTTGGCAATCTTTCATTTACGAAATTCCTCACAAACACGGCCAAAGTTGACTTTTTTTAAAGATTCCTGAGTGGAGATTTTAAAAGCTTAAACCCGAGTAAAACCCAGACTCGGGCTTAGATAATACCCAAGTCAAGACTGGTTCTGATTCGACCAATGAGAGACTGCTTAGAAAGCTTTCTCTCTGTAGCAGACAGATTGCCCACAGATAAGCTGTGACAAAGAGATGTATATTTAAAAAATTCGAACTTTACGTAGATACATTATTTTCATACCATTGATTAAATTAGACACAACAAATAATTCCCGAGATTTTAAATTCACACATGTAATAGTTTTTATGAAATTTACAATCATCAGCTGTTGAAGACCCGAGCCTTAAAGAGCGAAAAACCTAAAGCGGTTGGTTTTTACTAAACTCGAGACCATCCAAAACCCGAGTCCTCACTTGAGCTTTACTTGGGTCTAAGTAGACGCCCAGACTGGGTTTTACTCGAGGTTAAGCTTTTAAAATCTTAGTTCTGGTTTCGTTTCCTGCCCCATGTTGAGCAGAGAACTCCTCGAATATCAAGTTGTTTGATCCAAGTGGTGGCTTGAAGAAAAGTTCTATTATGCTGAAAACTAAGTTTTGATATTTTAGGAAGAGTTCATGCAGCCAGGATTCTCTAAGTAGCGGGAGCAGGAAGAACTCTATCATGAAGGATCCAAACTCTAGAAGATCTTCAACAAGCCAGGTTTGATCTCTTATAGCCGCCATTTTATACCGATTATGATAAACGAAAAAAGTCCACTTCAAAATAGCACCACCATTTTCTTACAGGGTTTATCAGCTTAATTTTAAGTGACCCTAAATGAATAAATAACAATTCCCGATTTACAAGGATACCTTTCAAAAGCTTTGTCCGATCAAGTATAAATTAGAAATACAAGTTTTTGTTTATTTCAGCTGTTTTTTCTTTTGTGTTTACTCAGCAGAAATGAGTTGCGCATTTCTTACTTACAATAAATCATAGAGAATTTATCGGATTAAACGCTTTACAAGTAAGAAAAACGACGTTATCTTCCACATTTTTGATCAGATTAAGGTTTCAAGGGTACCGTGGTAAATTGGGCATTGCTAACTTTGCATGAAGGGAAGGGTCACTTAAAATTACGATTACAGTCCCTTTAAACAAAACAAAACCAAATATAAATAAAGTTCCAAAAGGCTTAGATATTGTCTCTAGTGTAAAATGTTTCCTCGGAAATCTATATAAGCCTCCCAGTCTTATCTAAACTACTTCATAAAGTGTTTTCCTCGGAGAACAAGAATTAAAGATTTGATACTAACAGTCCTAATTTTCTAAACCATAACATAAAATGAATATTAAAATACATCTAATCCTCTGAAAAGAAGTTATTATCTACTCCTAAAATACTCCGGAGTAAAGCTGGTTCTGAGCTACTCTTAAGAAAGCTGGTAGTCCTGAGTAAAATCAGTTTACAACACTCAACTACTATGGAGTTATGTAAACGAGTGTAAAGTAATGTTAATTATTACTTCTGAAGAAAGTTAACATTCATCAAAAACTCTCATATTCTACTTCATATATTTTCGCAACCTGTTGGGGAAAACCTGTAGTATTTCATATTTTGACTATTATTCCTAGTAGTTTTCACAATTTCAAGGGTGTCCGCAGGGGGGCTGGTAGTGAACTACCTGCCCTGCTATTCAGGTTGAGTGTACAATTGATTTTCTGATAGCTATAGGGATGTAAGGAGATTATGGTCTAATCATACATTAAAAACTTCATTTATGCAGTACGCTTTCGCAGTGAGTAAGTGAAGTACGTGGCCTGTACAATTAGTAAAGGATTAGCGTACATCATCATTCTAGATACTATAACCTCGTCGGGTGCATTCCATCAGGTTGCAGCACTGAATTACTCTTTGAAATAATTGTTTTATTAAATGTGTTATATCTATAATAGAGCTCCCTCAAATATATTCATATAATATATATGTTAGCTATAGCTGGCCAAACGGCTCAACCTAATTGTCTGAACTTTTTGAGGGAACCCTTGAGTGCCCCGGGGGTAATATAGGCTAAAAAATTATTTTTTAAATTTTTTTATTTCACGGGAAGCGCCGGGCACTTTATCTTTATCAATGACTTATCTGAGTTTTCTTCCAGATTGATTTTGCGATATTTATTCAAACTTGTTCAGATGACAAGATATTAATTATCTAAACTTCAATTACCTATTATTAATATTGCCAATTTTGATCACGAAATTACCCCCCTCTTCTTGAGTATACGCCCCTCCCTCCTCCCTCCCTTCAATCACCCTCCCTCAATCTCCCCCATCCCTCAATAGCCCCAGTTATTATAATATATACATGAACGAACCAAGGTCAGCAATATTAACTAACTCCAGTTATAAGGGACTGGTCACTGTTTCCGGAATTATAAGGGAAACTTCCAATAAAAAGTGGTATCAACGTTACACAACGGTTTCCCATTTCATCTCTGAAAAAATCCGAGAGTTTGGTGTAAAATCCAAAGGTCTGAGTAAAATTAAAGGGCTACAAATTTGAAAAGAATAAAAATAAATCCCAATTTCTTTAAAACCCAATGTCGTAGACCGTAGATATTTCAAACTATGAATTCTGGTGGATCAAACAATGTAAGTTTGAACTATGAAAGGTATGCATCATCTGGTTGTTGAGATTTAGGTCTAATAAAATTGGCATTTGTGGCAAAAACTCAATTCCTTTGAAAAGAATAAAAATAAAGAAGAAGACAAAGTTTTAGAACATTTTTACGAAAAAAAATAAACATAATTTATCTTTCACATTAACAAATTTACAACACGAGTTTTCATAATTTTTTGAAATCAGCCCGGTTCACTAAACTTAAAGGTTCAGAGTTTAGATCAAACATGAAAATTTTCAAGCTAGACATTCTTATATTATATAAATAAAATCTCTCTGATTTCTGACCTAAAAAAATGTCTTTTTAAAAATTGTGGAAATTTTCTCGTGCTAATCATTACACCTCTAATAATAAACTCCTGGAATCATTATTCCAATCCCTGGATCATCTGTGATTTTACTCTAGCCCCTGGGATCATTATACTCCAAACCCTGAGATTTTACTCTAATTCCTGGGATTTTACTCCGACCCCTGGGATCATTTCTCTAAACCCTGCGAAAATTATTCCAAATTCTGGGATTATTTTTACAAAAATCGGGATCATTATTCCAATCCCTGGGATCATTTCTCTAAAAATCTGTAATTTTACTCCAACCCCTAACATCGTTACTTCAAGCCCCTGGGAATTTTCTCTAACCCCTGGGATCATTATTCCAAACTATGAGACTTACTCCAATCCCTGGGATCATTACTCAAAACCCTGGGATCATTACCACAAACCTTATGATTTTACTTTAACCCCTGGGATCATTACTTCAAACCCCTGGGAAATTGATCCAACCCCTGGGATCATTACTGCAACCCCTAGGATCATTACTCTAACCCCTGGGATCATTACTCTAAACTATGGGATTTTACTCAAACCTCCAGGATTATTATACTTCTGGGATCTTCAATCCAAATCCTTAAGATCTGCCACCCTCCCCTTAAATGGACCATTATGTTGACAATGTAAATAATTGCAGAACAGAACCTAGATTTAAAGTTGCAAAAACCAATTGAGGAAGTTTGCAATATAGTTGCACAGTGCAAACTCGTGCACAGGGAAATAATAGATAATAATATGATACAATGGCTGTGTAGGATTATAGCTTGGAGCTGCTGTAGTTGGTAAACTTGGGGATAGGGTTGTAAATGCTAGACAAAACTTGGCAAATTGCGTAATTTGTAGCAAATTTTGCTTGCTTGCTCCGCAAACTGCACATTTTAGCTAGGCTGTGCAGTTATTATTCAGGGTTACCCACAATATGCCACAAAGCAAAATGTATGCAAAATCACAGGTCCAAGGGGAATATTAACCAAAAATATGTAAAAACCCAAATCTTAACTGTTTAAAGAAAGATTATTAAAAATTTCATCCTCTTTGAATGGTTCTTCAAGTTTTAGACATAAAAATAAACAAAATCCGGATCCGGATCTGGATCTTTATTTTTCTTGTATATTTTCAAAGCTTTGATAGAGATTTCTTATTAAAAAGGTAGATAGATAGCTTAATACAGATTTCATCTTGTTTCAGGATTCAAGAAAGAGTTCACGGATTTCCTTCTCCGAGTCTGTGGAGTGCTCTAACGGTCAAACCCGGAGATTATCCGGGACGCAGAACCCGGATCCCTCCAGGCGGAGTTCATCCTCTTCGGTCAGCAGTGACGGGAGCAGAAAGTCGTCTTCCTCCTCACTCTCCAGGAAAAATGGTCTCAGCCACGAATACTTAAACGAAGTAAATTTTTATACTATTAAGGCGGCCTTAAAGTCGGTATGGTATTTTAAATAAACCTGAGTCACAATGGCTAAAATATCCAAATCTTCTTTATGTTTTCTATATTATCTTTATTCTCTACTATTTCTATAGTGTGACATATCACACAATGGAAAGGGAAGACGACATTTAAGTTACATGTATTAAATGTTGTTTTAAAGGAAATAATTTCATTTGTAGCTTTTCAAGTAGAATTGGTTTGTTAACACTGCAGTACAGTTTACACTGCACAATTGTTGACCTTTATGTACATTGGACTTTGTTAGATAATCATAACTTGAGTCTAATGGTCGTCTTCCTATTCTACTGTTGTATGAATCCCACTGTTTATAATTTTTATTCTATATATCTACAGCTGACCAAACAGCTGAATTAAATCGGCTGTCATTTTTTAAGATAACCCGGGGGTGACATAGGCAAAATTTTTTTTACATTTTTTTGAATTTGCACGGGCAACGCCAGGAGCTTGAGCTAGTTTTCTATATTATTTGTGTTCAGGAGTTAATGAAGAAGTTGGAAAGAATAGAACTAGAAGATTCATTAGACACTACAAGTAGTAGCTTGGAGACAGTAGTAGAACTAGAGGATGAGAAACCTGAACCTAGTTTAGAAACAGTCGTAGAGATCGAGGTGGAGAACACCGAACCCGAACCTTCTCAATCAAAACCTGCTCAATCAAATCCAATCTTATTTTTATAATTTTAAAAGTGTATTTTATTTTATTTATATATTTATCGTTTTTTTCAAAGAAAAGTTCGATCCAAAAATTACTGGTATTTTTTGTCTGAGATTAGATATATAGAGTGGATCAAAAGAGTTGGTGGGTTTAATGGGCCCCCCATGTTTTAGAAAATGATTTTTGGCTCATGAAAATTTAAACTATACGTTTCTTCCTTGCTTACTAAATGATAGTTGTACTAAGTGAATATGTACACATCAAAATAGACTGTTCAGTAACCTATTTGCACAGCAACCTGAAATTAAAAAACTCATGTCTGATATACAGTCTCTCCTGAGTCTTCTGAGGTTCGAGGACGGGATATTGGGATGTTTGAGGCCAGGAATCTGTAGGCTATCATCGGTGATAATCTTGAGGGCGTCAAACATCGACTATCTAAAATTCAGTCTCTGAAAAGAACCCTCCTCACCATATATTAGAAGATCTTCATGAAGACCTCGAAAAGAACCCTCCTCACCATATGTTAGAGGATCCTCATGAAGACCTCGAAAAACTTGACCCACTTCATGCCCAGTCGGATATAGGCTAAGGATAAGGGCAAAGGTCATTTTTTTTAAAGACACTGCATCGCTCTTTTGATCCACTCTATATAATAAAGGGTGCAAAAAAAGAGATACAGGGTTACCCATAAAGGATTAGACTGACTGTGGTAAGGGCCTGAACCTCTTTGATTACAACAAACTAAAAATAGATTTCTTTTACATTCCTTAAAGGGAGTGTTCGCGAAAAATGAAAGGGGGTATATGACATATTAACTATATACGAATGCGTCGAAAAATAATCGATGACTACTGTTTGTAATATCTGAATGATTTGTTTGGAATTAACTTGATTTTTTTACGATCCGAGTTGAATATTGCATCTTTCCGAATTTGTATGGACCCTGCGTTCTTCGGTGTGAGTCGTTTTTAACAATTTTCTCCTTATAGACACAACTGATAGAAGTAAGATTAGTAGCGATCAAAAGCGCTTTATTATCGCATTAAGCCTATACCCCTTTCATTTTTCGCGAACACTCCCTTTAAATATAATCTTTTAATGGTTTACTAAATTATTTGGTACAATTAAATATAAATAAGCAATTGTAGGGGAAGAAAAGAGACTGAATAAATTTCATACAGTCGTCTTCAAAGATTGAAAGCCTTTCCCCGGCCTGGAACTTTTGTAAGTAAAGGGTGTTCCAGCCAGTAAACTTGTATTGGTATTATGGCAAAGTTTTCTTTAAAAGTAATCTAGTCAAAACATATGAATACGAAAACTTCTAGTCCTGGACTGTAATTGTGCCATCAAAATTGACCGATAGATAATTTTCCAAATTGTATCACAGTGTCTAGACATTCAATGTCTAGCTGTTAATTTTAGAGATATAAGGTAGATCGAACACAATAAGACGAACAACACTTCTTGCTGACCTCTTTTTTCAATAATCAATAAAAATCAAAAATAATTATTACGTCTTTCTTCAGTTTCATCTATAAATATATTTGGCTTGTCTTCATCAATCAACGTAAGAAAAAGCCGAACCGATCGGGCCCACATTTTTTCTAGTAACTGACATGACCATGAAAGGCAGGCTTTTGACCGGTAAAAATGTCGACAAATAAGATTTCTTAAAATGCACTGGTTTGAACAGAAACATGTTAGCAACAAGTATGGTTTGATGGAAATCCTTTCAATTGGTCGTTATCACGCTACCTTATCAACAATACAATTGCTTAGTTTTATTATCAACCTGTCTTCTTCTTGGGAGTTCTTCCTTTCAAAATGACGAAACATTTTTACTTTGAAATGCTGAGAAAAATTTCAATTCGGTGTTATGCTAAGTTTAGTCCTCCATTTTTCATTTAAACGTTGATCAAAGGAATATTTTCTGTAAATAATATTAGTTTTTAAAAGACTTAAAAGACTCAAAAAGAGTCAAAATTAATGATTAAAGACTAAAAACTAGATTTTTTACTTTTCACACATTATAGTTTATTAAGACAGATATTTTACCTGTTTTGCACTAGGGTTTCTTTCCCTTAAGCATGCTATTGAGAAGCTATTCTGAAAATAGGAACAAAAAATTCCAAATTCAGGGGGGGGCGAATGTCCCCCCGCCCCCCTGTATCCGCCCCTGATGTTTCATATATTAACCCTCACTGGGGTCATGTGAGGTCCGTTCAGCCGTTTTGACGTTAATCGGAACTTACAAACAAACACCCAGACAAGCAAAGTTTATACTAAATATTAAAGGATGAATTTATAAGATATATTTGGTATATACGGAATTCATGAGAAAATCTTATATAGTTCGAATGAGAAGTATCTATAAATATATAAAGTTGTAATCTCTGCTTGTCTGTTTGTTTGTATGTCGGATAATAAGTCATGAACACCTTAATTTGCCTCAAATATTAATTGGGGAACTCGGGAGAACCACGGGAATGTTCTTAGCTCAGGGTTTTGAGATTTTAAGTTGACTGGGTCCATATTTGACGGGGAAAAAATCTAAAATCGTCATCAACGACTCTGAGTTCCCAAGCTAGTCTGATCTGAAGACAAACGTTATTATAACTAATTCGACAAAACTGCACCACTTACGGACTGGTACGAGTAAATGTGCAAAATTTGGTATTCATAGATACAAACTATATTTTCCATAAGTACTAAGCAATAGATTTTATATTTGAGCTTTTTTGAGCAATAATGAAACAATGTTTGAGCAAAATTTGAGCAAAATATTGAATTAAAATTGATTATCAAATTAGCAATTCAGTTGAAATTGAGCAAATCTAGGTACGATTATAACAAATAATTTTACTTTGTATAAAGTATGAAATGTTAGTTCCGGGTTGGTTACAATGAAATAGATGATATAGTTACAATACATCATAGTTTTAATTCTAAAGGTTGGAAGGGGGGGGGGTGAAAACACATTAAAAATGTTGCCTTAATTACAACATTATGCGAACTTTTGGCTCTGGACGAAGGAAATTGTTGGCCTATATCTGTTAAAAATCTATATCATGTGGATTGTGGAACATGTAATTTTAGAATTTGATTTATCTTTTCAAATTTTTAGGGAGCCTCTTAAAAATTGTTGAATTAAAACATTGGATTGAAAACGATGCCTAATACAGGAGGAAGGGAAAGAAAAAAGGAGAAAAGAATTGACTGAAGAAGGAAAGGTGGATAAATAGGAAAGGATAAAGATAAAAACTTGGTAAAAGACAGGAAGGAAAGAAGAAGAAGAAGAAAGTGAGACCAAGAGGAATCAGGGACAAGGAAAGAGATAAATCAAACCACGAAGAGAGAGAGAGGGAAGAAGAAAAAAATCCCGAGGGAAAAGAGAGAGGAGGGATGGGAAGAAGGAGAAGGGATGGGGAAAGAGAGAAGGGATAGGAAAAGAGAGGAGTGATTGGAAAATAGAGGAGTGATGGGGAGAGAGATAAGGGATGGGAAAAGGGATAAGGGATGGAAAGAGAGAGAAGGGATGGGAAGAGAGAGAAGTTGGGAGAAAAAAAAGGAGGAATGAATGATGATCGAGGGAGAAGGGACAAGTGGAAAAAGACAAGGAGATCAAGGATGGAGATATAAGGGAGAATGAACATATGGTGGAGAAATAATAAGGTTGAAGGAACAATATACACATATTCTAAGAAGTTTCAATTTATAAAGATAAAATATTTCTTAAATCATTCATTTAGTTTAAATTTCTGCAAAAGAATAATTTTAGATATTAATTTCTTGAGCACAATACAATCCAGCTTATACAATATACAATATACATGTTTCATACAAACAAATAATTTAGCCTAATGTAAATTTAGAGTAAAACGGTCCATGCTATAACGAAACTGATTACTTGCTTCTATTTCTAATTTTCTAATCCTTGTATCTTTGCAACCTTTCAAAATATGAATTCTGCTGGATAAAAGAACCAATCAAATTTTGAAATATAAAATTTTTATTTGTTAAAAACAGTTTAAGTCTAAGGCCTTACGTTTTATTTGTTGGAAACCTACCAGGTGCTGTTATTTTTACATAATCAACGATTGTTAATAAAACATATTTAAGATTTTTACATTTCTTACGATTTTAAACTAGGAAATAAAAATTAAAAATTGAGGTAAGTAATCAGTTGAACCACTTTTTATCAATATTTACACAGCATTTTGATTTTCAACCATACAGCATACATGATGTTAATAAACTCGAGACTAATACATAAACGTGTTCCTCTAGTCCTAACAGGGATTTATCACATATTATAATATCAACATTTTTAAAGATCATAGTTTGTACTTGAATTTAAATTCAAAGCTTATGAATTAATTATCTATTCGAAGAATTTTTTTTGTAAAGATTATTTCAGATTTTGAAAGTTGTCATTGCGCGGGACACTTTTTAGAATTATTTCATAAGCGCGGCAGCTCGCTCATTCGCCATTTTAACTCTGGTAATATCAGACCCAGCCTTGGCGTTAATCCTGTCCAGGGTCTGGTTCTGTCGAACAAGAGCAGTGTTCATGTCGTTCGACATATTTCTGATATTCCCGATCATTGCACTCACCTAGTTAGATAATAATATAAAATCTAATTAAAGAAATATAAATTCAAAATGGCGGATTTAATATTTACCTGTTCCATATTCTCTTCCATTTCTTCTTCTCTAGCATCGCAAAGAATTGTTGCGACGAATGCTCCGTCTCTAAGTTCTGTTGCTGGTGGAGGGGGTCCTGCTCCTACAACCTTCTGATCCCCCCACACTGCATCATCCTCCTTAAATCCCTTATCCTTAACCCAGAACCTTGGAATCAAACCAAAACAGGCCATATCCATTGCCTAAACATAATATCCATTGCCCAAATATAATATACCTTGTCTAAATATAATATTCATTGCCTCGACATAATATTTATTGTCTAGACATAATATTTATTGTCTAGACATAATATTTATTGCCTAAGCATAATATTTATTGCCTAAACATAATATCCATAGTCTAACCATAATATCCATTGTCTAACCATAATATATTCATTGTCTAAACATAATATCCATCGTCTAACCATAATATCCATTGTCTAACCATAATATATCCATTGCCTAAACATAATATCCATAGTCTAACCATAATATCCATTGTCTAACCATAATATCCATTGTCTAAACATAATATCCATTGTCTAAACATAATATCCGTGTCTAAACATAATATCAATAACCTGAACATAATATTCATTGCCTAAACATAATATTCATTGCCTAAACATGATATTCATCGCCTACCCATTATATCCATTGCCTAAACATAATATCCATAGTCTAATCACAATATCCATAGTCTAATCATAATATCCATTGTCTAAATATAATATCCATTGTCTAAACATACTATCCATTGTCTAAATATAATATCCATTGCCTGAACATAATATTCATTGCCTAAACATAATATTCATTGCCTAAACATAATATTCATTGTCTAAACAAAATATTCATTGCCTAAACATTATATCTATTGCCTAAAAATAATATTCATATTAATGTCAAAACATAATATCCAATGGCTAAACACAATATTCATTGCCTAAACATAATATCCATTGGCTAAACATAATATCCATTGCCTAAACATGATATCCATTGCCTAAACATAATATCCATTGGCTAAACATAGTCAAAACATAATATCCAATGGCTAAACACAATATTCATTGCCTAAACATAATATCCATTGGCTAAACATAATATCCATTGCCTAAACATGATATCCATTGCCTAAACATAATATCCATTGGCTAAACATAATATCCATTGTCTAAATATAATATCCATTGTCTAAACATACTATCCATTGTCTAAATATAATATCCATTGTCTAAACATAATATCCCTTGTGTAAACATAATATTGTAACAAATTCAAGAAAACACGAAGACGATTACCAATGTGTAGCGCAGTTAACCGTGCAAGATTTACAATACATAAAACTATATCCGCTCCAAATGTGTCTCCTCATGGCCCCCCCTTCACCGCCTCTACTCGTGGAGAACAGCGTCAGTTAGCTTTAAACGTCGAGATGTGAACACCTCCGATCAGGAACTACTAATTCCTTCATACTGCCGCAGATGCCTACTCTAGCAACAAATGCTGCTATTGTCTAAGCCTCCAGATGTCCAAATCCACAAAACAGTCGCATGACCTGTGGTATGAGAGGCAAATCGTTCCTCCCCACACATGTTACAGACTGCAAACCCTCCAGGACCGTCACCTAGATGTGAACCCTTTGCTGCCAAGATGCTGACACCTGCGAGCTGACCATCATGAAGCTCCAACTGTTCCATTCCTTTCATCACCAATAATCAATGTTATTTCACTTTCAATTGTTTAGATACTCCCTTTTAAGGGTCTCTATTTTAAAACAAATTTGATTTTATTATTCAATAAAGTTAAGGAATATCCCTTTTGTTCTTTTATTTGTGTCAACAAATATCCATTGCCTAAACATTATATCTATTGCCTAAAGATTGCCTAAACATAATATCCAATTCCCTAAAGATAGCATTCATTGTCTAAACATAAAAACCATTGCCTAAGTTTAGCAATAAAAAAATGATAAATGTGATCAACAAAAATATGATCAATATGATCAATAAAAATATGATCAATATGATCAATAAAAATATGATCAATATGATTAATAAAAATATGATCAATATGATCAATAAAAATATGATCAATATGATTAATAAAAATATGATCAATAAAAGTATGATCAATATGATCAATAAAAATATATCATGCACAGAAAATATTTCGAGTTTATGTCTTTTTCAAGTTAATGGTGGTTTAGGATATCAATTGTGTTCAAAATGTGTTAACGATAAAAACAAACAATAACAATAAAATTCCTTTTCTTGTTCTTAAAACATATTATTTTCTTTTAAACAATGCAAAATTTAAAAATATTAATTTAAATTCTTGGTGAAAATTTGGACTATTTTTTATCTGGTATAAGAGAACAATACACCTTAACCAGAATATAAATTCACATTTAAGATAAAAATAGTTGATTTGAAGAACCATGATGGATATGAAAAATAGAAATATTTTCTGATTTTCCATATTTCAGTTATTTTTGATAATGAGTTGAGTTTTATTGAAAAATATTACTATTTCGTCCTAAAAACTTGGTATTTTTTCCATTACCAGTTTTATATCAAGGAAAGAAATTATTAAAAATTTTAAAAAGTTGTTTTTTTACAAACTTTCCAAATGCTATCTTTTAACACGTTCAAGTTCAAGTAGTTAAATTTTCTTTTTTTTTAATTATTGCTTTTAGCGGTTTTTGTCATTCTGTTGGCACTGTATTTATCTACACATTTCACACTAAAAGTGTACTCTGAGACAGGAACTTTTGTGTGTAGGATCGTTAATTTTGAACGCTTCAATGCGATATCCATATTTGAGAATAAAAGCTTGACCTCTAACTGAAAGTTATAACTCCCACGATATTTCGAAGAGGAATAGAATAAATCCGTAGATCTTCATTAGATGGAGATCAATGCTTGATCTCGAAATTCACAACATAAAAGTTCTAACTTTTTGCATATCCATTTCTTTACATGAGAGCCATGAGCATGAAACACAAAATACTGTTTAGGAGTAAATAAAAAAAATGAATACAAATATAAAATGACGTAAATAAATTAGGATTTATGCCTAAAACAATTTTTTTATTCTAATAATAGATCTATATAATTTCCGGTTTTCTGAGAATAAATATTCAGGTTTCAATGTCAGTTAGCTTTCGTTTCGTTTATTAACCCCTCTGAATAACATTGAACGTAGTTTTTCGTGTTTTGTCGTCCTTTATTCTAGTTCCTGCATTCTCAGGATCAATATTTTCTAGTTCCTGTATTCTCAGGATCAATATATTCTAGTTCCTGTATTCTCAGGATCAATATATTCTAGTTCCTTTATTCTCAGGATCAATATATTCTAGTTCCTGTATTCTCAGGATCAATATATTCTAGTTCCTTTATTCTCAGGATCAATATATTCTAGTTCCTGTATTCGAGGATCAATATATTCTAGTTCCTTTATTCTTAGGATCCATATATTCTAGTTCCTGTATTCTAGAAGCAATATATTCCAGTTCCTGAATTCAAGGATCAATATAATCTAGTTCCTGTATTCTAGGATCAATATATTCTAGTTCCTGTATTCTCAGAATCAATATATTCTAGTTCCTGCATTCAAGGATTAATATATTCTAGTTCCTGTATTCTCAGGAACAATATATTATAGTTCCTGTATTCTAGGATCAATATACTCTAGTTTCTGTAATTTTAGGATCAATGTACTCTAGTTTCTGTATTCTAGGATCAACATCTTTTAGTTCCTGTATTCTAGGAGCATTATATTTTATAGTTCCTGTATTCACAGGATCAATATACTAGCGGGACTCATGGAACCCAAAAGTTTGGGTTTCGTTGGATCCAAGGTCGGTTCGTGGAGGCTTCTTCTCCAGCTGATGCCTTTCTCGGTTCTTCACTCAGTAGATTTATCTCTATCCTGCTCCATAGACCCATATTCCGGATCTACAGACCCGTATCCTGGACTTATAGTCCCGTTTTCCCGGCTCCATTAGCCATAAATCCGTATATGTAGTCCCGTATCTCTGATCTATAGGCAACAGACCCATATTCCAACTTAACAAGTCGTATCTCTGCTCTGTAGACCCATATCCGACTCTATAGATCCGTATTTTGCATTTGTGGACCCGTATCTCGGCTCCATGGACCTATATCTTGAAACCATGGACATATATTCCGCCTCAATAGCACCATATCCCGGCTCTGTAGACCCGTATTTTAAATATTTACAACCGTATGTATCTGAATCAATTATTTAGCATCTGTGCTCTGTAAATGTCCTTTATTCCAAATCTATAAACGTATCAGTATACTAGATCTGAAGTAAAGTAACCCGGATCTTTATTCCAATATTCCGGATCTCTAGACGTATATGAATCTGTCAACGTATCCCGGATCTATAAACGTATCCGGGATCTTTAGACATTTATCATATCTCAGATCTATAGGTCCATATATTCCGTATATATATAAAGACCAAAAACCCGGCTCTAATAGCCAGTATTCCGGGAGCCAGTATCCCGGATTTACAAAGTATTCACCCGGTTTTGCAGTCCATTATTCAATCCGGGCTGCATAAAGACTAGAGTAGTATTTCCATATTCACGACTTATTGTCCCGAAAATATGGATATATCTTTATTGCATAGTGAAATTATATAATCAAATTAAACCCATTAACCATCAGTAACTGATTACTCACTCGCCATAAACTTAAAATTAGAGATTGAGGAAAGTAATATTTGTTTAACTGATTTAAATAATTTTTTGGATTTTTTTTGCTTTCAAAATTTCAACTATGTCTTTATTATATTAAACTTAAAACAAGTTCAGTTTCCAAATTGAAACCCTGGGAGGTTTCGCTCCATTTATCAAACCCATTAAAATTCTGTTTCCAGCTCATAAACCTTCATAAACCTTATTTAATTTACTCAATTTATATTTTTGAACCTCTCTGGCAGGTTACCCTGCAGTAGACTAGGCCAGGTTGAGTATAATAAATTCTGAGGTTAATCTTTAAACCATTTATTAACCAAACCAAATAAATCCTGTAATTCCTTTATCATGATAGAAATGAAAAAGAAAGGATTTTTATAGTTATTCCCAAAGTTTAGGAAATAATTTTGTGACATTACAGTTAAAGCTTTCGCGTACATTAAATGTGCATTGAGTGTGCACAAAA